ACGATTTTTATAAAGCTCCATTTAATTATAAAATTTCATCACTCTCTTATTAGAAATTTCTTAAAGGAAATTCAAAATATGTGATAATTGTAACATGTACTCACGGAATTTAATTTAGTGTGGCTACACGGCAGCAACGGACGCTGAAATTTGCGTTGAGAACCAACAGCACCCGCCAGTGGCTGACACGAAAAACTGGCGCAAACGAAATTAATCGTATCTATCCACGATTGCAGCTCCTTCGAATCACTGTATATATAGATATGTCATTATATACTCATTTTTTTAAAATCAATTCAAATTAAAAGTCAATCTAAATTAAAACAAATTGAACTATAATCAGAATTACAATTATACAATTACAAATATATAAATAATTATATAATCAATCACAAATTATTATTAAACAATAAATATAAACTATAATAAACTGAGTTACAATTCAATTCAATTTAAAATTTAGTTTAATTTTTTGTTATGAATATTTTATATTGATGTGTGAAAATTATTTTCTAAAATCAACAAGATATATTAACCTCGTTTGAAAAAGGTACTCTGCCTGATCTGCAGTCTGTAGCCGAAAAACATGTTGCTTCTTCGTATAATCAGTCGCTTTAGTAGCCAGTGCATGATGAATACGAATGGCGTTGTGTAAGCTGTCGTTACGGAAGCCATGCTCGTCTTTATGTAAATATAATACGAGCTCGCGTAGTGTACAATAGTACATCTTCCAGCCTCGCTTGCCAAATGGAGCTGTAAAATTTTTTTTTTATATATAAAAAATAATATACGAAATTATTATATATCTGCGCGTGCGAATGCAATTAATTAATGTAGGAAATGTAGAAAGCAGATTTTTTAAGATCAATCAAGATCGAATGGATTGAATGGGATTATTTTTAACTACACATGTATGCACGCACGTACGTATTGTACATTTTGTTATATAAAAATAATATAAGAATGCGTATGCATATATACTTTTCTTGCCGTTGGAGTCGTAACAACATTTCCGCATAACGTAGCCCTTTTTGAATTCTGTGGCGCCCGTTACATTTGGCACATCGAGGAACGGATTTCCGGTACCGGCGATTGCCGTTGTACCATCACCCTGTTGAATCATCTGGTTTGTGGTTTCATCCCCTTCTTCATCCCTAAATCAATGGAAAACATAAACCAAAGTTTATTTGAAATTTGTTTGAATGTTAGACTTCAAAAACTTATTTATTTTCGTTTTCTTTAAAGGATATAAATATTATATAACTGCAATCTTTCACGAGAAATTATTTAAAATCTAAAATCATGCCAAAAAATGTAATATATTGTTACTCTAAACAAGACAAATTTATTATGTTATTTTATATATAAATATAAAATTTTGATTGCTTACAGGGCCCATTCGAGAGGAAAAGACTTGATGGCGTTGTAGAGTTGCTTAAGTACCTCGCGCGGAAAATTGTCGCCGTCATTAAGCTCCGACAAATTTTCGATAAATTCTGAACAAGACATTTTTCGACCGATATTTTGACCATGCAAATCCGTATTGAGCAGCATTATTGCGCAAGTTAATGTGTGAACCGCATCTAAAAATAAAAATATTATTTAATAATTTTAATATAAAGAATGAGATAGAGAGAATATATTATTTAATAATTTTAATATTTAGGCTAAAATAGAGTAATTATATTTAATTTTTCTATATAAATATTAAATTTTGGTTTAACACAATATCTTATTTTTCTTTCTATAATTTACAGGAGAAAGACGAGAATATTATCTAATAATATATACTTTAAAATATTTACCTTGAGAATTAAAACTACCTGGATTGCAATCCAGATATCTTTTGGAAAAGTGTACCAAGACTCTTTCCCTTTCTTGGGTTTCTCCCGTCAGAGAGAATTGAGCGAGAAATTTTCTGAGAGCTACATCCAATGTATCCCGCTCAAAGTTAAAATAACGCAAATACTCCTCTGCCACAGCTCTGCTAAAATCGTTGCTGTAAACAGAATATTATGTTTTCATAAAATTGAAACCTTCGGAAGAAATTTGATATTTTGTGCTACAATCCTATTATAAGAGAATACAGAAAACTAACTTTTTGCTTAGATGTCTAGAGACATCGGATTTTTTGAAGCCGTCCAGAGAATAGAGGCGTTTAGCTAATCGGACAGCGGAAGGTAGATCAACTGCTTTCGGGCTGTAGTGAAAGCTGTGCAGACTTTCGATGTCGCTTTCTTCATCTGCTGACTGTGGCGGTGATGCGCCTCCATGTCCCTTCTGCTCATCACACGTTCCACCAGTTAGGGCCTCTTTTTCATCTTCGCATTCTTTCAATTCCTAAATTTTCAATGATAAATTACTAATAATTACACAACTAAATATATTAATCGCATAATAAATATTTTATTATATATATATATATATATATATATATATATATATATATAAACAGATTGCCCGTGTTAGTCCAATCGAATATCTCGAAAACTGAGACCAGTATATTGTTGTTATAAAGTTTGCATTGTCTTAATAATATTTCTCATATTTTAATTTCTAAAGAGTTTTCACTAAAATTTCAACAAAATTAATATAATTCAACTAATTTTAACAAAATTTTACTATATATATAGAACATGTAATCTGAGAATACAAACTTTGAAGATGAGTTCTAGCATCAAAATACACATACAAATAAAATACACACACACATATATGCATATACATATACATGTATATAAACTAATTTGATTTAGTTTATTCGCAGACAAAATGCCATAAAATATGACTCATACCACGAGATTACCTGATAACCTACGCATTCGGGTGCCATAGATCCTGCAATGACGTTAGGGACTCCCGGAACTCCGGATTGATTTCTTTGTAAGTTTTGGGATGCAATAGACGGCACTAATTCTCCGACGGGATTCCCTCTCCTTCTCGTCTGTCTAGGACTCGTATTTCTTGGAGTTTCTTTATCAGGCCCTTTCACCTGGATTACTATTCTATGTTCTCCAGCATCTTGAGGATTAGTCTTCAGTCTTCTCTGGGGTGGTTCACTTGCCAAGATGGTAGAATCGCTATCGCTGGGGTCGCTAACCATCATAATATCCCTCGCGCTGAGGATATCCATTGTTTCTTCATCATTATAATCCGGGCTAGACATATTGCTGATGGCTTCTGATTGGCTGAGATCACCATTAGCCGGGAGATGACTTCCCGGAGCGCCGGAGATTCCAGGAACTGTCTGCATCAGCGGAAACCTGCGGGAGCCAGAGTTGGAGGACATAACAGAGGACGAGACGGAAGTGGGAGAGGCGGGAGATAAAGAACGTTGAGGACTAGTTGAGGAGGATGAAGAAGAGGAGGACGAGGATGAAGAACCACCATTTTGACAACAGGAAGCGGCTGGCGAACTGACGGGTGCATTGTATGTCCAGACGATACGTTCATTCGGCATCAGGCCTTCCGGCCTTGGATCTAACAGCGTATTCAAGCTCGAGGTGACATCGTCATCGATGTCGATGTCCACAGCGCTCATCGAGGGATCTTTCTGAAACTGTAGATGATCCTCCGATCGTGAAGTACGAACGAAACCGAAGCTCGAAGGAGTATTCTTGTTGGGATCGACCTGAACTAGAGTTCCCGAGGTGCCTTGCATTCCGTCGCGCCTGGCAGCACTCACAGGTGACGTGCTGGCCGAACTGGAAGCTTTGTAAGTGCTTCCTCGATGGTGATGGTGATATTGATAGGCCAGCTGAGTCTCATTGGGACTGCTGGGTACAGAATTGTGATGGTGATGATGATGATGATGATTGTGATTATGATGGATACTGGTGGTAGTGACGGTGGTGGTAGTATGTTGCTGACTGGGGTTGTACCTAAGGGAGTCGATCTTGCGCTGTTGATGCTGCTTGGGTAGAAGGTTACTGCTCTGCTGCGTGCGCGAGAGGTTCAACATTAGGTCACCGGTCATCATGTATGCCTCGAACCTAATAAACAGATAATTAGTCTTATTATTGGCATGACATATCAATATAAGTTTCAGCATCCATATATTTCCCTTATTTTTAATCAATTTTTCTCTTTTTCATTACTTTTTATTTCTCACTGCTCATATGCATGAGTAAAATAAAATTCATGTATAATCAGTTAAATTGATCGAGAAGTCGAGATATAGGAATTACACATAAATGTCGAAGAGAGATGAAATATAAATAGTCTTTGAATAATTTTGAAAATTAACAGCGATTAAAATTATTTATTTAATTTATACCTGGGCGTATTTTTTTGCCGAGGAAATTTCTCAGCAGAGAGGGGTTCCCATTGGGTTCGTTCCTCTTCTTTAAAGTGGTCCACGGGTGGCAAGAGCGCCTCCAATTCCGATGAGAGAGAGGCATCGCTGTACGAGCCATTGCTTCTCGTTGTTGCCACTGGCATTGACGAGTCCGCAGACATTTCCGGCGTCTTGCCGAACTCCTTGTTTTCTACATTGTCCGAAGATGTGACGTTCTTGGGGTTATTCGTCAAGATAGCGTTTGAGAATTCTGTGTCTTCATCATTTGAGGTTTGTTCAGGAGAAAGAAGACGACGAACGTGCGCCTTCACCGCAGGATCTATATATATAATGTTTCTTTTATATTTATATATATATATATATATATATATATATATATATATATATACAGGGTGAGCCATTTTAAGTTACCCACCCCAATAACTTTTTTATTTTTAAATGTACAACAAAATGTTTCAAATAAAAGTTGGTTGACTTCGAGGGAGACAGAAGATGGTGGCAAAAATTTGACCTTAGATAGTCATTTGAAGGTCACATAAAGGTCACCTTCAATTTCTTAAATGGAACCTACTATTTTTCATTGCATATTCTTGTAGCTTATCTCGAGAGTTTTCCAAGACACTATAATAAATTATTTTTCCATGAAGTACTTTTCGAGTTATGAGGCTTGAAATCATTTCTTAATTTTACATAAAATATCTTGTAAAATATTCATGTTTCGATTATCTTACCTTAATACTTTTATGTACAAAATAATGAGAGGAATCAATTGGTGTAAAGAAAACACATAGTTGTTTCTAAGAAAAAATATGTAATTTGCAATTAACAATTCCATATTTTTTCTTAAAAACAACTGTATGTTTTCAATTAATTCCCCTCATTATTTTGTACATAAAAGTATTAAGATAATATAATCGAAAATTGAATATTTTACTAGATATTTTATGGTTTATGTAAAATTAAGAAATGATTTCAAGCTTCATAACTCGAAAAATAATTTATTATAGTGTTTTGGAAAGCTCGAGATAAGCTACAAGAATATGCAATGAAAAATAGTAGGTTCCATTTAAGAAAGTGACCTTTATATGACCTTCAAATGATTATCCAAGGTCAAATTTTTGCCACCATCTTCTCTCCCCCTCGAAGTCAAGCAACTTTTATTTGAAACATTTTGTTGTACATTCAAAAATAAAAGAGTTATCGGGGTGGGTATCTTAAAATGGCTCATCCTGTATATATATATATATATATATATATATATATATATATATATATAGAGAGAGAGAGAGAGAGAGAGAGAGAGAGAGAAATACACACACACACACACACAAACGTACACACGTACACATGCATGCGTACATGGCACGCACACGCACACCCCACTTGTAAAAGTACTTATATGGTATATACATATAATGCTATTATACTTATGTTACACAAGAAATATTGAACATATGCTTTATTGAATATAATATCTACATATAATGCTATTATACTTATATTACACAAGAAATATTGAACATATACTTTTCATGTAACTACATCGAGCTCTTATAATTTTTTATATTAACATTTTCTCATCAAAAATAAAATAAATAAAAATTTAAATAAATATTTAAAAAATTAATTATAAAATATTTAATAATCTCTTTATTCCAAAAATTAAAAGTACCGTTTGCTCTAGAATAGTACATCTTTTTATTTTAAATATTTATAATTCGAACATTATAAATTTACCTTGGCACTTTTGTCGCAGATTTGATTAGAAAGTCACTAAAAATTGGTTTTAACGATTCACTAAAAAAATCAGGGAACTGATTAAAATCAATTGCCATTATTGTCAATAATATTAGTATACGATAAAATTAAAATTTTCTGTTTCCTTTATAAATTTATTCAATTCTCAAAAAATAAGACTAGAAAATAAAATATGACACCACAATATTTTTATTAACTTAAAGTTTTGAAATATAATATTCAATTTTTAACGAAATAAAATATTTAATTTAGTAAATTTTGCGAGAGAAGTTAATATAACATCAAATTCCCTTACTTATGTAGTTAATATGTTGAAAAAACACAAATAAAGTTTTAAATGTAATAAAAAGATCTATAAAAATTATGAGAACTGAGTAAGAAAATGCAAAAAATTTCTCTCTACAAAAAAAAATATAAGAGATAAGATTGATGATAAGATTCACGGGTTTGATAGATAATTATTGCCGGTAAAAATTCAAATTAAACGACAAATTTTAATCAATCTGATTAAATTGATCGGCTAACTGATAAAATTAATATAGAAATAATAATATAAGAATAAAACATTCTGATTACTGATTAAAAGATTGCAAAAGTATAAAAGCAACAACAACAAAAATCTGCCGAGGTACCAATGTAATCATTTGATAGAAAATCATTTATCACTCTCACGCATCGATTAAAAATCATCTGTGCACATAACTGCACACCTTTGATCATCCGTCATCTCATCCCTTTTCATAGGGTAGATGCGTAACCTCTATTTATTATATTAATCGCGACAGTTGTTACGACATTAATTCTATTATTATTACGATGTCAGGTTCAAGAACACGGCTCGCCGGTAATCTATCATTAGATCGCTCTCGATCACGAGAGTTCACTAGCCCCGCTCGTAATGCATAGTGTTTGTTTTTATCGTATAAACGTAGTATAAGCGTAGGTGTATTTAAATGACATATAATATTGTATATTAAGAAGAAATTTTATATAAAAGAGAAATATATACGATATATATGTATAATGTTATGTAAGAATGAGTAAAAATATTCACTTTTATACAATCAAGTCTAAAAGATTTTCAGTTGACATATATATTGGTAAGGTCACAATTTTGAATAATTTGTAAAAATTTTTAGCTATCGCTGGTTTTTTAATAAAAAATTATTAACAAATAAAAATTCGATTTGAATATTCTTTAGTAGAGAAAAAAATAAGAACTAATAGCGAGATCTATAATTGTATAGCTATAAATCGTATAGATTTGCACTATGTAAACAAAATATATTATCACATTAAGTGTTAGACATCTCAATGAATGGATCTCATTTTCCGATCGAAGACCGAAATTCTTTTCCTAACTATGTAAGAATAAATATTTATCTAAATAAATGTTATATAAAAAGATATTTAAATATAAAGAGAAAGAGGGGAGCGAGAAGAGACGGGGTGGGAAGGAGGGAGGGGGAAGGGGGAGAGGAGACGGGGTGGGAAGGAGGGAGTGGGAAGGGGCGGGAGGGAGGGAGGGAGGGGGGAGAGGGGGAGAGAGAGAGAGAGAGAGAGAGAGAGAGAGAGAGAGAGAGAGAGTTCATGTATAATATAAAATATATAAATATTATACATATAGAAATATTCTTATATGCAAAATAATAAAGTTATACATACATAGGAATATAATATATAACTATAATTTTAATATAAGATACATATGCAAATTTAATATATAAGCATTCATACGCACAAATACATATATTAATATTTAATTAATGTAATATTAATGTAATATTAATGTAATTACATTTCAGTATAATTATATTAATACATACATATACATATATATATATATATATATATATATATATATATATATTTCTATATATACATATAACATTTATATATTTTATATTATATTCCTTAATAGATTTTTTATTAGATTTCTTAATAAAGTAAATCCTAAATAAAGTATTTTTGTCTATACATAATACCTATATATAATTTCATTATGTTCATATATATATATATATATATATATATATATATATATATATATATATAGGTATTATTTATATATGTAGCCAAAAATTACTTTGTCATGTAATAAAAAATATCATAAAAATCGTAAGTTTCCTACAATCAAAGACGAGTTACTAACAAATTTTGTCTTACCCCTTCGTAGTTTTAGAGTGACGGGATCCGAAGAAAGTCGCAAACATTTCAATACTGAAACAGACCAACAACATAAGAAATCTATTCTAAAAATTCCGAATATACTTTTATACTTTCCTTTTCTATCTCTGCCTTTTTTCATATTTTAAATTTTATCTACCTTATGTATATGTATGCATGTTGTACGTATACAGATGCACGCGCATATGTGTCATTTTAAAACATTAATAATAATTTATTTCTTCCATTAATAAATAAATAATGTTATTTAGTAATAATATACACGCGTTATCATTCTCTTCAAATTCTATTAAATATTTATGCTGCATTATTTTCTGCGTATAATATAAGAAAATTCGTATAAAATTTTGTAACAGAAACAATTTGAGATTTTATATCATACATATTGAATACAATATAATAAATTAATATATAATTAATATATAATTATTACTAATTATTGTTAATAATTATTTAATAATTACGTTAATTACAAAATTATATGTTTAACAAATTTTCTTACAAATTCTATTTTCTGATGTATTATCAAGTTCGATTTCGATAGTCATGTCAATTAACGAGATTAAAATCTTGATTAATTCATAGTTTATATTAAATTATGTCAAATTGTGTTTCATGAATATTGTTTAATTTATGACAAAATATAAACGCAAAAAGATTGGTCATCGGAACATGTATGAAAAGATCGCATTTAGGAATATCGATAGTATCCCAAAAGTATAATAAAATAATTTTGTTTTAATTTATTTATTTTGCTTTATTATTGATGTTATAATATAATCATCTTTCTCTGACTTTCCTTTAATAAAATTTTCATATAAAGACCATTATGATATAGGTATAAAAATCAACATGTTAATCCATTTTTCGGTTTTAACTGAAACCTCAATTAAAAATTAGACTCGATATTTGATTGTAATTTTCTATCAAATTATATGACAGTTTCGAAATAATATCATCCCATTTATTTATTATTTTCTTTAAGCAACTGATTTTTTAAAAAGGAATGAAAATTGAAGTTTGAGAAATTGAAAATTCGACACATATCTCCATTGATAACTACGGAAATGTGATAAAAGGCGTGATAAGAATATGTAAAAAGAAAAAGAAAATAGATTTATATAAAAATCTATACAGAACAACATAATATTATAAAAAAATATTCAGCTACTGTAATTATTTGTAGATAATATTTGTAGGTATTATTTGTAAAAAAAAACCATCAAGCTTCAGGAATTCTCTAACCGATTTACAAGCAGATTTAACAAGCAACAAATGCAGAAATATTTGAAAAAATTAATTGGCCTGATATCTTTTTTCGATTAATCAATTAACATTACAATCAATATTAAAATCTTTCAATTATTTTTTTATATTAAATAATTTCGATTACGTGATTTTAATTATAATTAGTAACTATTTTAATTATGTATAATCTTATTTTTTTAATTAATTATAATTTTACAATTAAAAATAAAAAAATATGATATCAAGAGTAAAATAATGATGTTATAAAAATTTAAATATGTATATATTTTATAATTACATTACTTATTATTGCGTATACATGTGCGTACGCGCACGCATGCGTGTATGTGGGTGTGTCATTTTTCTCATTCTGTCACTTTATTATATTAATATTATATTATTCTGTCACTTTATTATATTTTATTCTTTTTTATGCATTATAAATAATCAAAATAATTGATGCGATATAGACATAATATTCAAATAAGTTTCAGGGAACCTGTGTGTATCCTATATATATACACAATAAAAAATTAATGATAAAATAACAAAAATTGAATTCAAATTGAACAAATTTCTAAAGTTTAGAAGTTAATCATTTAGATTTAATGAATACGGTAGTCTTACCTTCTTTCGTACTGAATCGGTTGACATCGATTTCATTTACCCTGAGTATGACATCGCCTGCTTCGACCTGAAAGTTAAGCAGAGAAAGCATTCTTATAAAAGATACATGTAATAAATATATGCGACTGATGATTATATTTATTATTAATTCAATTTGCTCAACACATCTATTATATTATAATTGAGTTTATTAAAATAATTAACTAATTATAATATCTCTAATAATAATTAACTCTGGTAATACTGATTAACAATAATGTATAAATATTTCTTTCTATTGATTAATACATTAACATCAAGTACGTGACTGACGAAAAATGCAATTCATTGCTGCCAGTGCAACTAAATCGAGTCCTGTTATATAAAAGAAAAATCAGTGAAAGCATTTTAGTTTATCTGCACTAGTTCTCCTACCAATTGTTCTTTAGCATAACGTGAGATTTGTGTATGTGTGTGTGTGTGTGTATCCAATCTTTATACCCAAAAATATTCTATATTATTACATACAAACATTACATAATGAAAAACATAACTTATATAAAATTAAATATTTAATTTTTAATAATGTTGTAGTTTTTAAAAAATTAACACTTCAAAGTTTAAAATGAAATATGTAATTAATATATGTATATTGTACATGCGCACATATGACAAATATTAACATAAGTCAATTTTTTTAATGTAAAAATTAGGATAATAAAAATAAAAAAGAAATACGTGTATGTGTATGTGTATAATTATAAAATTGTTATGTTAATTTTTTTATTTTTGTATGAAAATTTGTACAAAAAAAGTCACCTGATATAATGGTATATATTCAATATGATTGTATCTATCTCCCCGAGAATTTTTCCCTAGGAAGAAGTTAAGAGGTTGCAAGCAACACGATAAATAAAATGCGAGTTTGGGCATTCGAGCAGCTTTGATACACTTTACACAATGATTTTAAAATCTTTTATCTTTATTTGCACTGAACAAGCATCGATGACAAGAGATCGACAAAATGCGACTAATTGAATGTGAGTTGGAAAATACAAGACTCGGCCAGTGGCCAATTATATTTTCAGACTCGCAATGACATTGACTTTTCTCAAGCCAATCTGCAATGAGTTGAGTCTATATATGTATATATACATACATACATACACCACACACACACGCGCGTGCGTATATATGCATGCATGTGTATATGTGCATACGTGTATATGTGTATAAATAAATTGATGGAATATTTTGGAATGAAAAATTTATAATTGATCAAATTAATTAAATTTTATTTGATATTATAAAAGCTTCTTTTTTTTGGAAAAATTGAATTTTAATCTCAATTTATATAAAATAATTAATATAAAATAAAAATTTGAATCACTCAAAGACGAATTAAAATTTTCGGAACACGCTATATTAATAAATAAATGCGAATCATTCTCAACATGTCTAAATAATTTATTCAGTTATAATTTCGATAAGTAATGAATGTATATAATACACAGGAAATACCGGAAAATCTGCGAATTATTCCTTCGGAGATTGAGATGATAAAATTATCCCGTAGAGAAAAAAAATCTTATGACCCAAAGAAGAAACAAAACGATGAAGACAGAATCGTCAAATTCCGCTGTGATTTTTCTTCGACGCAGCTCGAGGTGATGTTGGCAAGAGGTTGGATCCAGGTAATTTAATCAAGTTTTCAATGTACTATATAGACTCTACATTTTTCTCTACAATTCCATTTAATTAAAAAAGAAAAAAAAAGAGAAGCATTTATTAAAAACGTATGGAAGAGAGGAGAGAAAATATTTTTATGTATTATTTTATTTTGTACATAAGAGACTACTTTTTTATTTATTTTATTATTAATTATACAATTATAATCTTTTATATTATATTTTATATTAACTTTTATATATGATCCCTGATTAATATCATACTTTTGTGTAAACTTAAATTTTGCATATATTACTATTAACAATGAGTATACAACAATATAAAAAAATATAGCGATTCATATCGCAAAGTGTTTTAATATATTGCATTCTTTTTTAGAAGAAATATAAGTAAAATTGATATTATATTTTTTATGTCAAAACAGTAAATTCAAGGCATCCTTTTATAAAAATAAGAGAGGAGAGGAGATAAGGAGGAAGGGATATTTTGAAATCTATATAAATATATCATGTTGTACATAGATATGTATAGAATAACTAGAGTGTTGTTCTCTTTACTTTTCGAGATAGTCGATTCCGAAGATGTCAACTGGCATCTGTGGTGGTGCGATACAGGCGACGTATTACGACAGGCTTTGGATAGCGATCGGAAAAAACTACGTCCTTACCAACGAATATCGCATTTCCGTAACCACTATGAACTCACGCGTAAGAACTACTTGTGTCGTAATCTCAAACGCTACAAAAAGATCCTTACAAGGGCTGGAAAAATGGCTGAGGCTCATATCTGTGAAGCCATGCCTGTGACTTTCGAGCTGCCCAATGACTATCGAATGTTTGTCGAAGAATATCACAAGTAGAATCACTTATCCATGATCTATTATTAATTAAATCATAATGAATTTGATTATCATTAATTTTAATTAAATATCTTACTTTACTAAAGTTTCAGTTTACTTTCTCTCTCTCTCTCCTTTTTATCTAAATATTATATTAGACATTTTTTTTATCGCAAGAAATATATAGAAAGAAATATATAGAAATATATAGAAATATATAGAAAGAAACAACAAATATATGAGTGTTAGTACTTATCAATAAGTATCGATGCGATACATATGTATATAGATAAATTAGATAGAAATGTGTTAAATAAGATTTTATATTGCTTAAATATTTATTTCTAAAATATTATATTTTTATATATATTAAAATATAAATCATAAAACATAAATCATTTCTCTATAATAACTTTATCTACCTATATATCTAAATATCAAATGTCTTCATAATTATGTATGTGTGTATATGTATATATTTACATTTGTTGCATAACATAAATAAATAAATAAATATAAATATATATATATATATATATATATATATATTCATATTCAAAAGCCATTTTATATTTTTAGGAAATTTTGTTTATGTATTTCGGATATTTTGTATTCAAATAATAAGTATAAACAAAAATGTTCAAGGCATAAATTATCATCGTAAAATTTTTGTCAGATTACAATATACGAATTTAAAACTTAGTGATAATTGCAGACAACGTGGAGCAATATGGATCGTTAAACCAGCAGCCAGGTCGCGAGGCAAAGGCATCTTTTTGTTTAGGAAGTTAAAGGATCTAATAGAATGGAAGAGTAGAGAGACCAAGCCGCAACAGCCGGGAACCTCAACTGAGACTTACGTCGTTCAGAAATATATAGATAATCCTTATCTCGTCGCAGGTGTATAAATTCAAATCTTTTATAACGCAGAGTGTTCAATTAATATACTCTAAATATAATTTTAACATATATTAAACATCTTTCGTATGTGCATTGTAATTTTTTAAATATTATTAAACAATTATACATATATGCATGTATGCATGCATATATTTAATGATTACTAAATTACAATGTACATACACAAAAGATGTTTAATATATAAAATGTATGTGTATGTGTGTGTGTGTGTGTGTGTGTGTATGTATTTCACACATATGTATGTATTTCACATTAAATTCTTAGTAAATATCTAAATGTAATAACAGATGAAATATTTTAAAAGAATCTGCCATATTGTAATTATAGAGATTGTACAATTAATTGTAAATATATTAATTGTGTGCTAATTAAGTTTATCACTAAATATTATAAAAATTATATAATAGAAATTATTTCAAATATTGTTAATTGTGCTCTCTAAAAGTGAATCAGTGTATTATCACTGTAATCAGTGCTGTACTTATAACTGCTTGTAATCAGTGAGTATTTACTGTTTTTCAGTGATAATACACTGATTCACGCTAATGAAAGTAGTATGTTATTATTAAACAGATTACAAATTAATTTAAAAATTGCAATACTAAATTGTTCATTATTATTAATATTAAATTGTTCGAATTTGATTCCATTTGTACTAGATTTTCAAGTATCATTTTCATTCAACAACGAAGGATAAATTCTTGATTTTAGGACGAAAATTCGACTTGCGTATATACGTATTAGTGACTTCATTTCACCCTCTAAAGGTATGGCTAGCTAGAGAAGGCTTTGCTCGTTTATGTAGCCGATTGTTCGATCTGAAGAATATTGAAGATAACAGGGTACACTTGACGAATATGGCGATACAGCTGAAGGCACGTCAAAATGCTGAAAATGTCTCTTCAATAGAGAGTGAAAATGAGAAATGCGACGACTGCAAATGGGCTTTATGCAAGCTCAAGAATTATTTGATAGCTGATCACGGAACGGAAGTAGTTGAAAACTTGATGCAACGTATCACAGGTATTCGTGATTAAGTTATAGAGAAAATTTATAATAATTATAAAACATTAATTTATAAAAAATTATTATTATATAATATTATTAATATAATAAATATAATAAATATAATAATAATAAATTAATATGTTACATATGCATATAATAATTTTACGTTATTCACCCTGTATACATTTAATTTTATATTTTTATATTATTCATCCTGTTTATATTTAATCTAATATTTATACACAGCTGTAATAATGGCAAGTCTACTAGCAGTGCAACCAGCTATGATGCAGGATCGCAACTGTTTCGAACTCTACGGCTACGACGTGTTACTCAGCGATGATCTGCAGCCTTGGCTGCTGGAAGTCAATGCATCCCCCGCCTTAACAGGCACGGACAACGAGGATCATCGTCTCAAGTTCGACCTAATTGACGACGTTCTCAACGTCCTCGACTTTGAGGTACAATCAATGAGTTAAAATCATTTTTTTCTCTATATAATGAGGAACAAAATTGTGGGTGTGTATAAAACATTTTTTTAAATAGAAATATCTTTATATAAAAAATCTCTTGACGAAAAGAATTTCGCGTAAATAAATTGATAATTTTTTGGGGACTGAGGGTCACTTTAGTGGTCGTGAGATCAGAATCGGAGGGCTAGATCTGCTCTGGGATGACGGACCAGTTTGGACCAGCTGTCCATATTTCGAAGTTTGCACGTTGGAAACTATACCTAACGATTTCAGAAGACTCAATATCTTTCTCGGAGCAATTAATGATCGTGAAAAACAGATTTCTTTGTTAAAAAGTCAATTGATTGAAAAGCGTAAAACGAATCAAAATCAATCTTTCACGGTGCAATATTGTTTAAAATAAAATAAAGATAAACTTTAAAGCGTAAATATTTTAATTATTTTCTACTTCAAAAATTAATTGTGTGTAATTTGTTTTTTATTTCATTAACTTTTATAATTTTCTCTTTGCCTAAATAGTTTTTTATGTATTGGAAATTTCTAAAAAATTCGTTGCCAATTTTTTACCGCCGGACATTCCGTGTTTATTAAAAATTTATAAAATTAAAAAATATTAATTTTAATGAAAGATTTATTTCATACGTATCATATTTTTATAACAAGTAATTTTAATTTCATATTTTTCTGCAGAAGTAAATTTCAATTTACCGTTTTAGTTATTCCATTTGTGTCTCAATATTCATCTGTGTAATTTCTCTGTGAAAATTTATCCATAAAACTTCTGATCAATTATTCAAAAATTATTTGCGAAACTGTGTCGCCATGCAGAAAGAATGCAGCTGGTGCATTCTTGTTTTACGTACACACACACATATACATCGTTCATCTTGTCTTGTTATTTTTTTCTTCGTTTCAATCTCAAAACTAAATTTAGCCAAAGACTAAATGTGCAACTTTATAATAGCAATGTCTATTCTATCAAAATATATATTTAGGATTTTTATCTACAACGATAGAAAGTGCTTTAATCCCGCACTTAATTGTTTTATTTACATAATTTTTTTATCTTTTTCTGCATCGTGTAATATTTGATGATAATGTGAATAAAGAAATAAATTTATCTTTTATTATTATTTATTAATTTAAAGTTTACATGTATTTAAGTGTCATGAATCTTTAAGAATTTCGTTATTTCGAACTTTTTTTTTGTATTATTTATTAAATATTATAAGTAATATTATCAATTTAATAGAATTTTTATTTAAAAATAACGCAAATATAAAATTATTTATAAATAATAAATATATTTTTAAAAATCTACTGGAAACATTTAGTTTTTCTAGTATTAATTTATACTTGAATATTTGTAAAAGAAATAAATACGATATCTATATATATATAGTTATAAACAAATAATTTAGAAGTTTCAATTTTTCATTATAAACTCTTAGGCAACAATTAAAATATAATTTACTAATTAATTTGCTAATTATGTAGTACAAATATTAAGAATAAAAAGTCTACAAGGAAACATGTAATGAGCAATATTGTGTCGTAAAAGAATATCGAGTCTAAAACTAAAATAAAATAGTGCAGAGCATTTTCATACACTCAAAGTATTGCGATTGTTTAGAATATACTTGTCATTCTGATCGACTTTTTATCCATGTATATCGAGTGTATATTTTAAAGAAGAAGGAATCAAAGAACACAGCATTGTTCTCTTCTTGAGGGAGAAGTATCAAAGTATATAATCTTTACATTCACACTCTTCTTCATAGATTGTACAAAATGTTGGGAAGATACATGGCTACAATCAATACTCGCGAATCGAGTCTGAGGATATCCCTTTCTCAAAACGGAAAAGAAGAAAAAACAAATTACCCGAGAATCGGTAAATCAAACTGTCCTAATCAATATCGTAAAAGTAACATTTTCTTTTAAGCGAATAATGTCATTTTAGAGAACTCGTATATTTTTGTGACAATTTAATTTCTGATTTTTTTTGTCTTTAAGAATTTCAAGAATGCAGATATGCAGATGCAAAGATATGTAACATATCGCTTTATCTTCAATAGGATCGCTTCTTCTCTCGCTAGACCGCACAAAATCGACAAAATTACAAAAAAATGTAGCATTTCGTCGATATACTCGCAAGTATGCGGTTGACAATTTTCCCTACTAATCGAAGACAGCTTTATTAAATTATTTATCGTGAAGGATCAATTTCTTTGGCGCGTAAAAGTGTAATAACGAGCGTGAGCAAATCTCTCGTGAAAATCACTCGCGCATTTAATTCCTATGCAAAAATCACGAGCGCGCGCGCGCGGAAATCGATCTCGCGACAATTGTTTATCCGTAGGGATCAATCTCCCGTGGCAATCGTACGCGAAAATCGACCTTACGGCGAAAACTCGATTCCAAATTCCAAGCTTGCTCCATCTTACCTTGCCGCTGTTGGCCGCCGGTGAATTCTCAACGATATCGTAGATGACGTGGGCGGCCGGTAGGCCCGCCGACGCCGAGGCGCCGAGCAACGAAAAGCCGAATGAGCCACCGGAGTCGCCGCGGCACAGGGTGACCAGCAGCTCCTCCTCAGCCATCGCGGCACATTGATCCTCACCTCTCGCCTGTCATTTGCCCCTGCCTCCACGTTCCTCTTTCTTTTATCACTATCTCGCGCTCGCTCGCTCGATCTCTCGGCGAGATGAAGACAACGATCTTTGTTTGGGTCACTCTCGTCTTCCGCCTTTCTGTCACTCGACGACGACGTACCTATCCCACGGGCACACGCACACCCACGCGCGGGACGGGGAGGCGCCCTCCCCCCTTCCTCGCGCCGCACTGCGAAACGATCGACAGTCGCTTTCGTTCTCTCTCGCTCCCACTCCCATTCGACGCCGAGGGAAAGAGAGAGGAGGAGCGCCGTCGAGTTCGAGCCGCTCGAGACTCGAGATTCGCGCTGCGCGGATACGTCGTTTCCCTCGGAAGGGGGTGAGATAATCGGATAGAGAGATACGGGATGGACGCGAGTTACATATTTCGCGAACGAGACGACGAGACGCGCGCGGAGATACCGGAAGCGAATCTCTCTCGTCTGGCCGGCAAATACCTCGCGACTGATTGAACGTTGAACGAGCGTGCGGCGCCACTTGCGCGCACTACCGGTCCTTCACCTCGTTACCGGGTCCCCCTGCAATCGCGCCGCCTACCAATGACGGGGCGCGAGCGCGAGGCGCGATCAGCGGCGTCAGGGACGTTAACTTAATATTGCATTTGTCGATGACAAATTTTTTAAGCATTGATTGGCTGCGGAATAATAATTTTTGGAATTTTTATTAGAAATTTTCTATCAACAAATGTAATATTAGCCTTAGCGGGCGTGTCTCGGGTCTTTCAACGCGCGCGCCAGATGTCGCTCGAGATGCGAATATCAAGGAAATGTCTTTATCTACCATCGATAATTTATCTGTTTTATCGACGGTAATATCATTCATCAACCAATGATACATCGGGCTGTGAATAGCTTGTATAAAAATGATCATCGTCAACATCACTTCTCTCAATCATGCATAATAAATAATTTAAAGTGAGAAAATTGTGCGTATAACAGTAGGATTTTGAACACGGAAAGAATCTCTCTCTCTTTCTCTCCCTCTCTCTCAAACTTGATTCTACATAATTTTGTTGGTGAATGCTGGCTATTGGTCCTATCCTATCATCTCCCATTTCAGTTAGCCGAGCGAACATGGAGTCGGTCTCACATCTCGTCAAAGTATCGGTCCCGAACTATTTGGCCGGCCTACCGATTCCAAATTCGATAGGCGGATGGTTTCGTTTAGGAAGTAATTTTCACCGTGTACCTTTTATGCTTTACTTTAGCGCAATCAATTTTATTTCATTTTCCACGCCTCGATATAACCTTTCAATTTAATAGATTGTTAAATTCTCTCCATTAATAATTCATATTTTTCTTCTTTTTTTTATTAATATTAGTACGAGATTGGTTCGCCCTTTTGCCACCCACTGCCCTTCTTACGGGATTAGGATATATGTCTTACAGGGCATTTTGTCCCCACGGTAGACCTGCGGTGAGTATTTCGTGCTTACTCATTGTAGAAAGTGTCACGAGGACGATGATAAGAGTCTACGATGGTTCATTAATAGTGTCATGTTACTTGGCAAGTTATTTCCGAATCATAACTCTCTTGAAATTCGCCGTTATTGGTAAATTTGTCGTGAATTTGGTGCAAACTATGAGTCGATAATTTCAAGTCTGTATTTTTTCACTACACCTTTTGCACTTTTTCTTTTATTTTTAACATATGTCATGTAAAATATTCTTTATATCTATAGCCTTTCTCTATACATGTACGCAAATTGAACTCACAACTATAGATCTTATAGATATGTGAACGTAACTTTTGCATTAGAAGCAGTATCTGGAAGAGGTTAGACAAAAAAACATATTTTTTAAATATGTGTCTTTCTCAAAGTGTTCAAAAGTATACATTACATGTATGTAAATACATATGCATATATGTATATAAATATGAATGTGTATACTATATACTTTTCAATATCTATAAGATCTATACTCATAATTCATAAGATCATAACTGTATCGTATGAAATAATAAAAATATATTAATAATAAAAGCAATAATAAGCATTCTGATCAACTACCTTTTTACAGCCATGTGGACGTGTTAATGTCAAAATAAAGAAGGATGTTGCTAAAGTAGTGGATACTATCGATATTGAAGATATCTCTGAAAAAGCTGCATTCTGTCGCTGCTGGAAATCGGAAAACGTAAGATTTTTTCTGTACTACTATTTTTAAAGTTAGCAAAATGCAAATAATACATCTATTTCGATTTTATTATCTTTTAATATGTAACCTACATAACTAAAGATTCCATATAACTAGAGAATATACATTGTGTAATAATTATTGAACATTAATAATTAAACATAAATTGTATAATGCTCCAAGTGTATTTATATAATATTTATAATGTAAATATGTATTAACTACATGTTTAAATATTTTTTATATAAATTATCTATGTTTAAAATAATTAAAATATTGTAAGAATTGTACAAGAATTATGGTTTCATCTCTTATCTTCTAAATATTTTATACCTACGTCTACATGTACATATTCTTATAATCACTTTTTATACATAGTGGCCATATTGCGATGGTACTCATGGACGTCACAACAAAGAGCATAACGACAATGTGGGTCCGCTCGTTATCACAAACAAGAAAGATTAATTACAATCTCTTTATTGCTGTAAAATATCTATTTGCTCACTATATTGTAGATAAATATATAATGAGAGGTTAGATAAATAAATTTATCGCCCCTTTGTAGATAAATCTTACGAAAGAAACACTCCTCGTGTTTATCAATTTGCTTTTTAAAATATCTGGATACTAAGTGAGGGTTTGTAAATAAATTGTTTTTGAAATATATTTGTATATATATCCTCCCGATATATTTTATTTTAATATATATTCTGGTGATTTTTTATTGTAATAAATAATTATTGAATTTGAATAAGTAATTAATAATTAAATAAAATTGATAATAAGTTATTTTATATACATTCGATGTTAAACTTGATGATTATTTGATTTTTTGTTTTTCAACAAAACAATATATATATCATATATACAGACTATCTACTAACACTATAATACTTTTAATTAATATATTTATGTTATTGTAACTGCTAATTGAGAATTTGTTATATCGATTTTATTCTTAACAAAATATATAAATTCCATAAAAAATAATTCATTTTGATTTTGTAGTATAGTATTATTAAGTATAAATACAAGTGTAGTATAGTATTATTAAGTATAAATACAAATCTTTCTCATATTATTTTATTTACTTTATTTACCAATAATTTTTTTATTATTTTTTATGTATTGAGATTTGTACAACTTATACATTAGTGCCTACAGTGGCAGTGTTATTAATAATAAATTTTACATATTTATATATATTTTATATATATAAATATAGTGTCACAATAAATCTTTATTTTAATAAAGCATCTAATATATCTATATGTTTGCATATTGTAAATAATTTTATTAATGTAAAAAAAGATATATTACAATGATGTAATTAGAGTTGTAACACTTTAAATACTCTTATTTTTCTCAAAAGGCACAAACTACAAATTTTATATATATGAGCAATTTTTATGTACGAAAAGCTATAATATATCTACTTTGACTTTTGAAATTATTTAAATCACCATGCATCTTATAAAAGAAATTAAATAAATATTAAAAACTTAACAATAAAATAAAAACTCATTCATATAGTTATATAAAGAAAAAACAACTTTCATATTTAAACTAAATTTAATATTTAATAATGAATTATAAATTAAAGTACATAATACATACACATAAGTTACATTTTTTATTCAATTATGGGAATAATACCATATAATGTTCCTTGATTAATTTGTTGAATAATTTGTTTGTGACATAAAAATTTGATCTGTATAAAAATATGTTTTTTGAAGAATGTTTCAAGTAAAGATTATAAAGAAGAAATATAAAAGAGAAATTAAAAAATTCTTCCTTATGAAAACAATAAAATATTAAAATAAAGAAAATTTATATTATTATAATAACAAAATTTGTACGACGCAATTTAACTTTATACATATATATATAAAATTTAATTTTGTTTATACGACATACACAATTTAAATTCATTTGTTTAATAATTTTGCAAATATAATTACAATAAATAAATTGAATATTTATTAATATATTCATATAATGTTCAATATAAATATAATATAATGTAATATAATATAAATATATATAAATAATATTATTTTCTCAGATTTGAAAATTAATAATAATTATTCTTTGCATTCTCTAACTCTCTTCTTTTGATATAATAATAATCTCTATTTATTTATTCTTTGTCACTATCTTTCGTTTACAAATATAATATATTATGAATTTTTCATTGCAAATTTTACAACACTTTATTTTAAATATAAATATAATTCATACAATATTTTCAGACTGATTAAACGATTTGCTCTTCATTTTAGTATTAGCGCATTTATGTGCTAATTGTGTAACAAGACTCTATTTTTATTGCAAATTGTATCTGTATTTAATTGTAAAAATATTTATCAGTAAAATATATATTATCCTGCATCTGACATGTATCATTTTCTTTGTAAGTTTACGACTTCGATAAATGCAGTTACATCCAATTTGCAATGTCCTGCTTTCTGAAATAACAAAAACGTAAAATGTATTTATATACATAATGGTGCAAAAAAAATGATATTAATTACTATTGAAATTATGAATTATCAATTGTAAATATTTATATCTTATCATATCTATCATATCTATTATATTTATTAATATTTTTTTATAGAAATAATGTGTGTGTGCGTAATAAATTTTATACATATATATAAACACATTTTAAATTCTTATATAAATTTTTTCTCTCCAATTTTTTGTTAAATTTAATAGTTTTTTATACATATATCTAAATACAATATTTGATTAATTATTATCATTAATTGATTAAACTTCAATTACTTATTGCTTGAAATATTATTAAATGATTGTAATATATCTACCCTGTACAGCGGTGGTTCAGTAGGATGGGGGTGAAATCCTGTTTGTCTGCAATTTGCGATAAAATCCAAACCGTAATCCGGCGTTAACATAAAAAATCCTGTTCTGTAAAAAATCATTATAATAAATCATTATAATAATTATACATTATATCATATATTGTAATAAATCATAAAAATTCAAGATAAATTTTGACTTAGTTTTTAAGTTTTAAGTTGATAATACAAAAAATTATTCCTATTTTGTTATTTATTATTACATCTTTTCACTTTTTATAATAATTATATATTTTTATAATTATATATTTTATAATTATATATTTTTTTCTGTTTTTATTTCTATTTATTTCTGTTTACATACTCATCATATTTAGGTGCACAAACTATCGCTATTGCTTCGGCCATCATAAGCTGATAAGCACAGTGCGTATGCAGATCCACACTTGATAAAAATGCAGTTTGCGTAGGGTGTGTCTATATAATGTAACATTATATATAAAATATAATTAGTTATAAAATACTATATAAAAAAGACTTAGATTTTTTTAGCGATTCGTTTGAAAAGAATTAAAAATAAGTAAGTAAAAATTACATGAATCCAACCAAGAGTGATAAGGTTGTGCTGGTCCTGATAATCAAAGATATCTTCTTCATTATGTGTGGTGCAAGAATCTGGAGTGCCAGTTTGTTTTGGAATCAATAGATGTGTCACTAACAATTTATTTCGTTCCAATCTGCCAGCCAGAATACCACATGTTTCTTTATTGCCCATCGTATTGCTAAAGGCGAGCGTTAAAAAGTCTTGCATTAATTTAGTTGGCAGAATAACATCGCGCAAAGATAATCCATCGCTCGTCAATAAAGAAGGTTTTGTAGAACGATCCACCATCGGCCTTCTAAAGAAAATATACATGGCAAAAATATGTACATTTAATATGAAAAATTATTTATTTAATATTTTATATTTTATTTATATAAATTTTCTAATTTAAAACTATAAAAAAACTAATAATTTACAATATTAAATCTTATGATTAAAGCAAAAATAGATAGTAAATAATATAATGATAATATGTTATTTTTTAAACAACTAAACTTACATGTCCTTATGTGTTTTATCATTTCTCATAGAGCTTCCAATCTTGGATGGCATTATGGAAGGTAACTCTTTTATTTCTGGAACGACCACATTTACACTGACAGCAGCTTTCGCTGCTTCAACAGCAGCCAAAGCTGCTATTTTATTTCTTTTTTCTTCCTCTTCCTTTTGCCTATGCAAAAATATAACATTAACATTTAATTTCTTATAATAAACATTGAAAAATAAAAACATAATAAGAAAATAAATTATTTATATGAGTTTATTATTAAAAACATATAATATTAAAATTTCTAAACTAAATTGAAAATTAAAAACAATTTTAAATATAAGTAATTATTTCATAGAAAAAATTTGAATAAATTTTTTTGTCATGAAAACTATGTATTAAAGATTTCTTGTATGTAAAAAAATATTCTTTTCTTTCCAATTTAATTATTTATTATACTACTTAATTATGTATATGTGTGTATGTGTGTGTGTATATATATTTTTGCACACAATATATTACAATTATATTTGTACATAATTTTAATCTATACATAAAAAAAATAACTCAAATTTTATATCAATATATAAAAATTTATATATACCTTTGAAGCTCTTCTTGTTTCAAACGTTCCTTTTCGATTTTTTCTCTTTCTTTTAAATCGTCCAAATATTTGTCTAACTCTGCCTGATATTGCACCAACAATTGTTTTTTCAATTCTTCAGTTTTAGGAATGACAATTCTTAAGGTACGCTTATTCATTATCTTATCCTTGTTTGGTACACGATTATATTGTGGATGGTGTATTATTTTGTCTACAAAAAGCCTATTACAATACAAAATACTTAAAATGTAATGTTTATTATATTTAATATTCGATAATATAATTTTATAAATAGTATATATACTATATATACATTATACATACATATATATATATATATATATATATATATATATATATGATTTAAAAATTAAAATTAGAATTTTTTAATTTCAATTAAAATTTTTAAATGTATAATTTAAATTTAAATTTTAAAATTTAATAAAAAATATATAGCTCCATGTTTATAAAGTTTTTTTTCTTCTTTTTGGGTCTCAAATCACTTCTCAAAGTACTGTAGGCAATTTACCTATACCATACACAGTATATATACTATGTACATATATTGAATAATTTCAAAAATAAAAAGAGAAAAGTTAAGGAGTGAGATTGATTGTTTATAATTTAATTATTACCTACGTTATAAACTTCATATATAGTACGAAAGCCTGTTCATAGCTGCCATCTTGCGTATTCATGTCTGCATATCTGATCAGTTCTATTCCACTGCGATAATATCTATAAATAAAAAATAATAAATAAATATAAAAAATTATATATGTTAATATAAAGTTATATATATATATATATATATATATATATATATAATCTTATATATCATATATATATATATAATCTTTTTTAATTAAGTTTAAATAACTTTAATAATTTTTATTTATAATTTCTTATCATGTTTTCTGTGTATAAATATTATCCTAAATATTTCTTAAAATATTCTAATATATATATGTTTAGATATAATAAATATATTAATCTTATAATATATTAAAATACTAAATCTTTAGTTTAATTTACAATTTGCTATAATAAATTTTGAAGAGATTTGTTTTTTCTTACATTTATTTTTTTATCTTCTCTTTGAAATCTTACAATATATACATGCATTATTTAATTTTTCATTTAAAGAACTTGTTATAAAGATTTTAAAAATTTTAAGAAGTCTATCACAAAGCATAAAAGAGAGATAGAATAAGCTGCAGTTATGATTTGATAACACAATTTTGAACCGATAACTCCTAATTTTAAAACTGATCAAAAGGTCAAATATTATAAAAAAAATTAATTCCTCGTGCATTGAAATCTTTTTGAAAATTCTAAGAGTTTTAAAATAATATTTTATGATTTTTATCTAATGAAGTATGTATATCTTTTACCGTTCGGGTGGGATATTCGGATCAATTTCCACTTTGGAAGCCTGCTCTGAAAGATTCTTAACTCGTTCCTTGGGATCTGTAATACCCATTTCCTTCCAAGGAAGTTGCCTGTTCTTATCCATTATATTTTTAAGTTAATGCAAATCTATTTTCAACATTGACAGATTGACAAGCGCTTGTGAAAAAAAGACATTCACTTTCTCCAAATTGTTTAACGACGAATTCTTCAGATATTTTTACAATGCCCTTTCGATATTCGAGATGGGAGAAAATATGATAATTGTTCAAATTCTTTATCTCCCTGATTCACCGTACTTGACACTCTTGACAGTATACTTATGTATATATGAATGATAATTTGAGTTCTGCTAGGTTAAGTCTATAGACCTGTTCTTTTTAGTTGCACTGCTGTACTAGTGCAATTAGTAGAGTGAAAGAAAGTATGTTTGTCTCTTTCTAACTTATTGCACTAGTGTAGCAGTGCAGCTAAAAAGAACAGACCCTATCATTTTGGCTAAAGTAAATTTTCTCTATTGTAAAATCCCTTTATTCTAAATTTCGTCTCCTTTATCTTAATATCTCCTTTATCTTAAATCAGCTGTTTCGTTCAAATTCTCTAAAATTTTATTTCATTTTACTCTCTTTCGTATTGTGTATTGCGTATGCTTATTAATTTTTTGTTGTTTGATATGTATGGAAAGAAAGATTAGATTGAGAACGATGAAGTAGATGATTAGAACTTTTATTGTAAGCAGCACTTCTGCTTTCTAGTTAAGTTAATAGAGAGAGAATATGAGTAACCTTTCTATAGAAAATACAGAAGATCTGAATAATGTCTCTGCACCGAAACAAGCTAGAATTACATCTTTCCAATGTAAGTTATATGTATGTGTCTGTTTAGAAAATTTTATTATAAATCTGTTACGATTTATTTATATATGAGTCTTATAACAATTTTTTTTCCAGCTGCTTTTAGTAACTTGAAGAAATCCGAGTTTTTCAAGGAAGAATTGCCATCTCCTGAAACTTCTACAGCAATAATTTCCCATATATCTAATGTTGTTTTAGTCAATCCAAAACAGGTAATGTAGTTTTATTGCATTGTATAAAATGTTAAGGTAAAATATAAGAAAATATTTTTAGTATTTTGCGCCAATTAGAGTTGATAAGGTTTTTATAGAATAAATTTATTAATAAACTTTAAAACAACTTTTACTGATATTTATAAACAAAATTATAAATTATTAATTTTAAAAATTTGTAAAAATTAATAATGTTTTTGTAGAAGGGTAATCCATTGCTAAAGTTTATAACAAATGTTTCGTGGGAATATTCTGACATTGTACCAGACTATATAATGGGAAAAACTACATGTGCTCTTTTCTTATCTATCCGTTACCACCAACTCAATCCTGATTACATTCATGAGAGACTCAAATTGTTAGGCAATGCTTACAATTTGCGAGTACTCCTTGTGCAGGTACATATAACTAATTTATATATATACAAATTGAATTATCTTTGTAATCTTTTGTTGCTTAAGTTAAATCTTTTTATGTAATTAGATTGATGTAGCTGATCCCCATCATGCTTTGAAACATCTAACAAGAATATCCATTCTGGCAGACATGACAATAATGTTAGCGTGGAGTGCAGAGGATGCAGGAAAAATTATTGAAACTTATAAAAGATACGAGACCAAACCCCCTGATGATATCATGGAACGCAGCAATACAGCACCCTATCAAAAGGTAATTATATTATATTTTTTTTTATATTTATATATTTATATAGTATATATTTATTTATTATATATTATATTATATTTATATAATAATATTATATATATTATTATATATTATACAGGGTCTACCAAAAGTGTGGAAACCCCTAAATATCTCGGAAAATATACGTTTTACAGAAAAGTGTTTCCAACAAAAGTTGTAGGGTTTAAGAAGATCTATATACTGATTCTATCAGTTTGACCTTGGATGGCGTCGTCAAGGTCAGGTCAAGGTCACATTGACTTTTTTAAATGACACCCCCTACATTTGATTGCATATTCTTATAGCTTAATTCAAGAGCTTTCCAAAACACTATAATAATGTTCATTTTTATTAAGTACTTTGCGAGTTATGAGGGTTGAAATAATTTCTTAATTTTACATAAACCATAAAATATCTAGTAAACCATTCATTTTTCGATTATCTTACCTTCATACTTTTATGTACAAATTAATGAGAGGAATCAATTGGTGTAAAGAAAACACATAGTTGTTTCTAAGAAAAAATATGTAATTTGCAATTAACAATTCCATATTTTTTCTTAAAAACAACTGTATGTTTTCTTTACACCAATTGATTCCTTTCATTATTTTGTACATAAAAGTATGAAGGTAAGATAATCGAAAAATGAATGGTTTACTAGATATTTTATGGTTTATGTAAAATTAAGAAATTATTTCAACCCTCATAACTCGCAAAGTACTTAATAAAAATGAACATTATTATAGTGTTTTGGAAAGCTCTTGAATTAAGCTATAAGAATATGCAATCAAATGTAGGGGGTGTCATTTAAAAAAGTCAATGTGACCTTGACCTGACCTTGACGACGCCATCCAAGGTCAAACTGATAGAATCAGTATATAGATCTTCTTAAACCCTACAACTTTTGTTGGAAACACTTTTCTGTAAAACGTATATTTTCCGAGATATTTAGGGGTTTCCACACTTTTGGTAGACCCTGTATATTTATTTATTTATTTGTTGCAGTTGGTTAATGCTTTAACAACAGTAAGATCTATCAACAAAACTGATGCAACAACACTTCTAACAACTTTTGGCACATTGACTGATATTGTGAAAACACAACCAAATACACTAGCCTTATGTCCTGGATTTGGATTACACAAAGCTCAAAAACTTCATAAAGTTTTGCATGAATCTTTTCTACGTACTTCATAAACTTTTTTATAAAATGAATAATATTAATGAATATAAAAAATCTTATTTAATTGAGATTATTGTAGTGATTAAATAATAATTAAATGTAGTGTTGCAAAAAGATTGAATGATATTAATATTGAAATTATATATATAACACTTTTTATATAAATTGTATTGAAAATAAATCATAAATAATAATTTCAATTTTCTTCTTCGAATTAAAAATTAAATTTATAAATTTTTACGAAAATGTGATGTAAATAATTTTAATCTTAAATATCTTATATAATTGTTTATGATTGAATATTTAAAAAAAATTTGATTGTTTTCAAAAATTGAAGAAATTTTTAGCAAAAATGAACACTAAATTACATGAAAGAGAAAGAGAGGAAAAGAGAGAAAGAGGGAGAGCTTTTTTCTTTTTCTTCTATTTTTTTTGCCTAAAAATATATGTCCACTCTTTATGAAATACAAAATATATTTATATCATTACTAAAACTTTGTTTTTTACCGAGAATATCTCCATTAAGATATTTATAGCTAATTTCTAAATAGAGATAAAAATTATTGGAAAGGGAGAAAATATTTGTTAAGCATTATTGTTATTTCAATATTATTCAATTATTTTTATATGCACATTTGAATACAATAAATTCAATTATTTACATGATTTGTAAAAATATGACTTATAGAATTACAGAATTTTCCATTATTATGTGTATACAATAAAATTGTTTATCTCCCAAGTTATATACATGATCGTTTCAATTAACAATTATAAAATTATAATAACAAATGTATTACATATTTTACACACGATCTTTAATAGATATCTATTATTAAATATATAAAAATAAAGAGAAATAATTCTTATATTTTATATTAGGAATAATTATTTCACCCCGCACACACACACACACACACACACGCACACATAATATATGCGCATATTTCTTTATATTTTTTTATGTTTTTTATCAGAATTTTAAATTTTGTTTTTATATATATTATATATATTATTTTATATATATTATATATGTATTTTTTATATATTATGTATGTTTTATATGTGTATTTTACATTGCATGTCTGAGGGTTCTCTTTGATAGTACTTTAATATAAAATATAAAAAGTATGACAGTTTATATATATTGTATACATATACATATATATATATATATATATATATACATATATATATATATATATATATATATATATATACACACACACTATCCATATGTATGTATTGTGCACATATGTAAATGTATGTATGCATATATGTAGATATTACCATATATTCTTTCATATTTTTCATTTTCAGATTCCAGTTTTCTTATTACATCATATAAAATTATGGCATTAGAAATTATGTAAATCTTTTTCCCACATTTTATGCATCAAAATAAATTAGTTTTTTTATATCACTTACATTTTTAATATAGTTATATGCCGAAAACATATTTCACTGGAAACATTTTTTATATCAGTCTAATTAATATAAATTAATAAAAATTTATATATAAGTCACAATATGTTATATATTTTTAGCAAAAATAATTTTATAACTTTATAAATTAATTAAATTTTATAATTATTTTAATTGACATTTATAATAATTAAACTATCAACTTAAAAAAGAATTTTGTGATATATTTTATTAATATTTTATTAATAACTAATATTGAATGTATACATGAGAAAGAGAAAGTGGTATAAGAAAAACTAATTTATTTTGCAAGAGAAAGATTCACTTCAAAGATTGATTTCTTGACTGAGACGAGACGCTACAAATCAATACGACTGCAGTAAAGAACCAAGAGGTTTCTAAATTAGATTTTTAAAAAATCTTTTTTCTATCGAAATGCAAAAGGAATATTTAAATTAGTATGAGCCGTGAGGCACTCGTACGAAAACATAAATATAATAACAATAGTTATTCACGCAATATTTAAAATACGCTTTATTTGTAGTATTTTTGGAATTTATTCCAGCGGTGGAGAGTCACTTTTGATTCGAGTCCTCTAGCCAGTTATTGATTATTGCTACTGTTGATTATAGTCAACAATTGACTAAAGAAGATTCCAGCAAAAATTGAAATGGATTCCATCATTGAGAATGAATTCTAAAGATACTATATATACAAATGATATACTTAAATACAATAAATCGCATAAATATCTCGCATCTCACATATTGGTCTAAGGATCTTCATTTAGATCTTTTTAAGAAAATGAATTAATTTTTAATTTTTACAATATACAATAAATAATTAAACATACACAATAATTTATGTCAAAAATTATAAATTTGTTAGGCCAATAATAAATTTTTTATATAATATTTCATCATTTTATAAATCAATCAAATATGACTTTAATTTTATAAATTTTATTTTATTTTTATTTTAGATGTATAAGGCGAATAAGAAAGTCATGTAACAAAATGTTTTATATACATTTGTAGAATAGTTTTCTTTATTATTTTATATAAATGCTATCAATTAAAGGAAATATTAATTTAAGTATTATTTTGCATTTGTCTTTTTTAAATTTAATTCTTGTTTTATTTTTTATCTCCGCCATCTCTCTTTTTGCGAATTTTTTAGAAAGTTAAAAACATTAATATTTAGGTTTATACATACACATACACAACAACGCAATTTTTAAATAAATAGAGAAGCGTTTATATCTTAAAGATTTTGTAGAAAATTTTGGCAAACTATAGAAAAAAAGACATTTAGTAACAGATAATTTTTAGTTTTAAAATTTATGACTAGAACATTATATGTTATAAAATCACGCGCGCAGGGTTTGGAAATAAATTACAGTTTGGAATCGTTGTTTTAAAGAAAGTCATCAAAGTACCAATCGAGTCCAATGTCGATTCAAACTTACCTATCGATTGCATTATTAATGAAACAGAATAAGAATAGCCAGATACATCGGTAACAGGATAACATTGATCGATGCGCAGTCGACGAAGTTGCCTACAATTAAATTACAACATATATATATCAGATAAAAAAATATTCTTTATATATATATATATATATATATATATATATATATATAAATAAAGTGATAATATATATATATATATATATATATATATATATATAAATAAAGTGATAATATATATATATATATATATATATATATATATATATATATATTATCACTTTAAGTTTGTCATTTAACAATGAGATTAAAATGAAATATATACTACATGAAATATAACAACAGAAAGATAATAATAAATAATAATTTACAAAATTAATAGAATCAAATAAGATTTGAAGCAAAAAGGGATTTAATTTTGTTATTGTTTTACTTTTTGGTGCAATTGTATTTTAAGATATTATAAACTATTAATTAAAAATCATTATCTCTATTGAGATAATGATTTTTAATTAATTAATTTATTTTTAATTTATAAACTATTTATTTTTAATTTATAAACTATTAATTAAAAATCATTATCTCTATTGAGATAATAATTTTTAATTAATAGTTTATAATCTATCTATTAATAGTTTATATTCTTTATATTCTAATTTTGTAAATTATTATTTATTATTGCCTTTCTGTTGTTAGTATATATTTCATTTTAATCTCATTGTTAAATGATAAACTTAAAGTGATAATAAAGTACTACGTAATATTGATTGCAATAACACGTAATACTAACGTTTTTGTTTCTTTTTTCTTCTCTTTCTCTTTCTCCCTCCCTCTCTCTCTTTCTCTCTCTCCTTCTCTCTCTCTTTTTACTTCTTCTAACATATCGTATATAATATTGTAATATAATGAAAAATATTTTCCGCGTTTGAGCATTTTTGTAAAATTAATGGGGCCAATAATTGAGCGCGTTACAACGGCCGCGGGTGAGTTTCATAAATATGCATAACCATAATGAAAGCCACTTGAGCGGAATGCATATGCATTAATGCATAGACATTAGTATATGTATATGAGAGATGCTAATATTGCGCGAGGATAATTCTCCGTTGAAAGGTATAATACTAATGGGCTTTCGCCCGTTTTGACTTTCATTGGATAATACATGATATTTGAGCAATATTAATGTCAAGAAAAGAAGAAGAAGATAAGATAAAATGAATAATTAATTAAATTCTATCATATAAATCTGCAACGTCATATCATATCATTGATAATACATATGTAGAGAAATTAATAAGCTCTCATCAATGTCATAAATTTTTCTAGGCAAAAGATGATAAGAAATATATAATTAAAAGGAAATGTTTCGATCTTTAGATAGAAGAATAATTAGTAATTCAAGAACTACGAGAGTCAAATAATGAAGAATTATGAAAAGAAACTGTAAATGTGTTATAAAAAAATTACAATCTTAAAAATCGTGCGTGCTGTCAATAATAATTGATAAATAAGTATAAGAATCAGATGTTTCTAAATGCTCGGGCAAATTTCTATAAAAACGAGCATGAAATGAATACACAGGTTTCGAGAAACTCCGAAAATCTTCGATTAAAAAATCCCAGCCAGCATACATGTTCAAAAGACATCAAAAAGACGATTAAAGACGTCTTAAAGTCCTCTTGTCTTTAAGACGTCTTTTGGTCCTTTTGTGCTGTCTGGGATAGTGGCTAATGGTGATGATGTGGAATATATATTGTTAACAAAATTTACGATTGATCTTACCACCACCATTACCGGACTTTGAGCTGTCTAGGTCCTGGATATCCATTTTATGCTCCGGTATCGTTGTAACAGATGAAGTAGTAGTAGTCATTCCTGTACAACACAAAACCAAGCATAGACATTTCTATTCAAGCAAAGAGATCAAATAAAGAACTAATAATTTTAAATAATTTCGATTATTAAGCATTACTATGTAAAGAAAGTTAACGTAAAATTAGCAATGTGTTAGTATAGAAATATTTAAAGCATAAAAATACACAACTAACTGGAATAGTATATAGTTCTTCGGGACACACTGTAGTTTGTTTTCGGGATGTCGAGAGTACATTTAAGTTCTGCAGCTTCTGGTAGTTCCTCATCTAGCATATCTCTTCGTGATAAGATATCATACAATCCATCTTCACGAAATATCCGATCATTATACATGGATTTATTTGAAGATGATTTGTCTGGAATACCCCTGTAAGTATTATTCATTATTACACAAATAATAAATATTTATTTTATATAAAATATTTTTTTCCTTTATAAAATATTTTTTTCTTTATAGGATAAAAATTTTTTACCGTATAAATTTCTTGCCAAAGATTTTTTTGAAAATCAAATTGTAATTTTTAACAACTTCAAATTACAAATTATATTTACAACAAATTTAAATATATTTTAACAAAATTATAAAGTATAAATTTAATATTTAATTTTTATAAGTAAAAAAAATTTAATATTGATTTTTAAAATAAAGTTGTAATAATATTCTAAACAAAAATAATATGCTAATTTAAAATAATACATTAAACTGGAAAATATAAATAATTAAGTCAAAAATTTTATTTTTATAAAGACACTTACTTCACTGAAATATTGAGATATGCTGCAGGATAAACTCCTTTAGCTTCACACGTCGCTTCCAACCCGTCTTTATTATCTATACTTTTTTTATGATAGTAAAAATCGAACTTTTCCTCTGTTGCTACAACAACAATTATATATGCATTATTAACACATTACATAAATATTATATTAATATAATTTTTTATTAAGATTAATATTTGCTACTCCACATTACTTCTTTATGTCATATAATCATGTCATCTTATTTATATCATATATTTATTATTTATTATCGCACAATGATATACTGTATTCTTTATATTATTTTTTCTTTCTATAGAATATTTAACACTTACAATTTAACATTCAAGTAAGTTGCTTTATAAAAACTGGTATTTTTGTACACATTTTAAAAAATCTCATTTAAATTAGCTATTTTCTACTTTAAAAACGTGTATTTTTGAAATAAACGAAGTTACGAAGTGAAAATGGAAATGCGTATGTAAGGCAACAAGAACCAACGAAAACATCACACACACACACACACACACACACACACACACACACACACATATATATATATATATATAAATTATTTGTATTTATATAGATTAATATAAATATTTATACATAAATGTCTATTAATGATTATGTAAATTAATAATTTATTATTTTTAATATATTTAATAAATATATTTATATATAATAATATATAGTAATACATGTTTATACATATATTAATTAATTTAACATAATATTATTAACATAAATTGCAGAAAGCAGAGAAATGAAATGTTAATTGCAAAAAAAAGTAAATAATGTCGCAAATACAAATGTCATAGAAATAATATATTTAATAAACTATGAGATACACACATACAAAAGTAAAAAAAAAACTAATATGCGAGCACAGCGTTAAAGCGTTTACTCTAAAAAGGGTGTGGAAAAGAAAGTACATACTCCGCTTTACCGCGTAAATTGAAACCTGAGCGTAAAACAGGAACCACGTAAATAAAAAGCGCCCGGCGCAAATTGAAGGATTTGCGAACGCATAAAAGTGGAACAACACCGAAGAAAATTTACGCTACAACGTGAATTGAAAAACGAGCATTTAGAGAGAAATAAAGTCTGATTTTTTTAAATCAGCGACATCCTGCACATCCGTTATTCCTCTGGTATATGAAACAGTTATTTTATTGCGTGTATTTTAAAATAGAAACATAATTATATTATAATAATAATATGGTAAATATAATGCATAACAGTAATAAATTGTATGTGAGTGTGTGCGCGCGTAAAATATAATTATCTAAAGCTAAACTGAATTATAAATTAAAACGGAAATTTAAATTAAAATAAAATAATCGGAAAAACATATTCGGAAAAGATAGAAGGAGAATAAAGGATGAAAAGAGGAAGTTAAAGTGGATTGATGGACTTGAGGAGAATGTGTAAAGAATAGGCTAGAGGAAAGTGGAGGATGCTTCTGCTTAAGACAGAGATAAATGGTTAAGTATCGCAGGCGAGATACTTTGAGATCAACAGTCAAAATTTACGATAAATAAAAAGGTTATCAATAATTCCGTGTAAAATAATATTAAAACGTAGTAATATTAAAACATATATTTCGATAAATTACACATTTGATAATTTTCGTTTGTACATATAAAGTTGGAATTTCAATACCATCGAAACATAATTGAGAAAAGAAACAGATAGAGAAAAGAAGAGAGAGAAAAAGAGAGAAAAGGAGAGAAAAAGAGAGAAAAGTAATGTAAGTAATTGAAGTGATCATAATATATTGTAAATAGCATTAAGAATATTAAATAAAAATATGGATTACAGAACATCATTTTCGATCTTTAAATTAATTTAATCTTTCAATTTTAATCGTAATAAAAATTTTTATAATTAAAATTTTGATTACTTTTTATATTTTATATACGTGTATTAAAAATACACACATGTAAATAATGTTTTGTAATAAGTATATATGTATACACACACGCACGCGCGCGTGTCCCATTTTAATCCATCCAGTCGAATATCTCGAAAACCAAGCCCGAGAGAGAAAAATGTTTCAGACAAAAGTTGTATGGTTTCAAGGATGCCATAAGAGGGTACAATTGGTTTGACCTTGAAGAGTCATTTGAAGGTCACACGAAGGTCGCTTCAATTTTTTTAAATGGAACATCCTGTATATTTTTATATATTCTTGTAGCTCATCTCGAAAGGTTTCCAAAACATTATAATAAAGTATTTCTTCATTAAGCACTTTTCGAGTTATGAGACTTGAAATAATTTCTTAATTTTACATAAACCATAAAATATCTAGTAAAATATGCATTTTTTGATTATGTTACCTTAATACTTTTATGTACAAAATAATGAGAGAAATCAATTGGTGTAAAGAAAACAACTGTATATTTTCTTTATACATATACATTTCTTTATACATATGTATGCATATATGTATATATACATATGTATATATACATATATACGTACATACATACATACACACACGCGTGAGCGCGTATATGTAAATGTTTTGTAATAAATATGTGTGTGTGTGTGTGTACACTTATTAAAAAAATACTTACATATATGTGTAATTTTTGTACAAGTGAATAAATTATTTTATTATTGATAATTATTTTTTATTAAAAAATAGTGTATGCACATTGTGACACATCTGATCACGTATACATACACGCACACAAAATTAAAAAAAAATACTTACAATAAATTACCATGGAAGCATTTGCCATCTTCTCGTCTTCAAATGTCGATATCACGCACATATAATCGCCCGTTAGATCGGTTCCCGGGTTATCCAGCTTCATGGCTCGATACTCGGTGAAAGGATCATCACTCGCCTTATATGTCAGATCGATGTATTTCGCAGCCGGCTCATCAGCTAAGGGATTCCTGCCGTGAATCCATTGGTAGACCAATCCGGCTTCCTCCAATCCGTTGAAGAACCACTTGACCACCAACCCTTCGCTCGAGGTGTTCTCCAGAGCGTAGTCGCAGTCGAGGACCACGTGATTGACATTGCCGACCTTCACAGCGGGGGGAACATTGATGCTCTTGATGACGAGTTGTTGGGATTCTGCAATAAAATATCAAAAAGCTATCTATCTGACCTTTCGACAAATAATAAAAATAGTTTATTTCATTTGCTTCCAAATTTTGTTTTGTTCTGATATTGAGAGAGAGACTTGCTTAAAAATTCTTCAGAAATAAAATATATATTTTCACGCATTTAAGGATATTATAGAAGTTATCTATTCTAATAATATATAATATAAGAATTCATATTTTTTATTATTAAAAACAATATGAAAAATTGAAATTATATAACATATTTGTGATGAAATGTATGATTTTCGAAAAGAAAAAAAAAATATATATATATATATGTATATATATATGTGTAACAAAATGATTCATAAAGGGAATAATAATTATAAAACTAATTATTTCTGCATAATTAATACATAATTATAATTAATATCGCATAGTAGTTGCGATAAATGGGAATAAATGTGGTACGAATGTCATCATTACTGTAATAATACGATAATACGGTTTTGCATTTCCTGGACGCGCAGTTTTGCCTGGTCAACACAGAGGCTGGACGCGGTGTATAACCATGGGGTAAATCCGACCCCTAGTATTACACATGAACATGTGTATAGAGAAATGCACACAACACCGGTAACGAGCGAATAGCGAATAAACATTGCGGGTACACAACGAGAGCGCCGTTAAATAATCACGTTAATTGTAGCGGATTCTCTGCTCTCTGTAATGCAACTGCAATTGCCTGCAATAGTACGCCTGTTCTACTCTGTAAACGATATCGACCAGGCCACTTAACGGAATTATCCAATTCTCGCATGCAATGACTAATTGATCAACTTATTTCCAAAGATTGTCTCAAACTTGTATTTCTCGAAAAAAGTGAAAATTGTAAAGATTGTAAATTCGTAAAGTTTTCCATTATGTCTTTTTAAATATTTTACACACACACACACATACACACACACACACACACACACATGTATAAATATATATATATATATATATATATATTTTTTTTTTTTTTTTTTTTTTTATTATATTCAGCAAACCCCTGTATACATGTATATATAATTTTCATTTTTTAAATATTTTAAAGCTTCTTTATTTGAATTCTTATAATTTTATCCAAGAGTTACATCTATAAACAGATTTTTTATATAAATTTAACAGATCAACTAATAAGAATATTTGGTCGTTATAACATTCATGCTCCAACTTAATTGCATATCTGTGAAATTTTTTACTTGGTTTAAGCTGATTTTTCCGACTGATGACCAAGCTTTTTGCTCTGTGCGCACAGAAATTTGCACTTTGAACTTAAACCTGAGAAGCGAAAATACACGCAGCTTTAAATACGCGTGTAAATTTCAAAAGAGGAAGGAAGAGAACCGGTGTATGCATACAATTCTACAACCAAATAAGCAAGTGACCCACTTTGAACCTCCTTTATAGATCAACTTCAAATGCAGCTTTATAAGCATTTTCGCAACACACTTTTTTTACTTTTTTTAACTCCTGTTCATAAAATGTAATGCATAAGATATATATATGTGTGTGTGTGTGTGTGTGTGTGTGTGTGTGTGTGTACACATATTTATTTATTTATTTATTATATTATTAAATTTATTTTATTATTACCATATATATTATTATCATGTATATTTATATTACTTTCCATGAAATGAAAATAATAATAATATTATTGCTTAATAATATTATTTTATTCGTTTATCTATATAAGCAATACTCATATTTATGAGTATTTATTCATATCTTTTTTATTAAAATCTATATTTTTATTAAAATTTTCTTACCATACTATTTAATATATACTTTACATAATTATTCTTATATTATCTTTATTAAATATATACTTAATATTATTTTTTATATCATCCTTTGCAACAACTTAATAATTATAATATTTGCAATTATCTTTGCTTCTGTTGTAGAAAGCTCGTCTCGCGACGCGCTGAAAACAAAGTGCACTTCATTATGCAATATTTGGAACCGAGCTCGTTAACGATGTCGCGGAAAACAAGCTCGCGGCAAGCAATTGAACAAAGGAAAGTTTACAGTACAAGAGAATCATTGAAGATATAGAAATCGCAAATTCGAAAAGATAAAATCGTCAATCTGGTAAGAACGAAAATTGAAAGGAGCAGAGCGGTAATCCTCAAATTAAAGCTCCAGCTTTTTTTAAATTTCGATTATAAGAAGATTATGTAATTATTATCAAGGAATATATTGGATTATTATAAAGTATCAGATTTCTAAAAATTTCTAAAAATTTTAGTTTTATATATCACGTTAAAGCGACATGGCAAATTGTGTTTTGCAAAATATAATCGATAATTTTTCAAATAAAATTTGTAATAAATTTGTAAAAAGATAGTTAATTAAAAAATGTGCATAATATTAGGATTTTAAAATCGAAAATGATGTTACTGAAATAATTCCGTTATTCCAAATATTGGAATACTGCACGAAAAATGATTTAAAGAGGATCATCTGCGATCTCTATAAATACTTTATAGCCGCACGTATATACTTCAAATTCGCTGTTTAACACGTGTTGCACATATTGCAGAAAATTTCGAGCTTAAAACAGGTCAATTCTGACAAACAACCGATACCGATATATTTCCAAATGTAATTGATTATTTAATTAAAAATATAACAAATAATCAGATAATTTATTGGATTTTATAATGAAAGAAATAATTAAGAATTTATCTACAAACTATTCATTTATTTAGTCAAAATTTCAAAAAAATTGTAAAACAGTAGTTAGGTTTGTGAGATAAAAATCTAATAAAGAATTGAGTAATTTAGGCAAGAAAACACAAGCATTGAAGTACTATGCATAAAGATTCTGTAAGACAAATGAGTTAAGTCATCGACGTTACAATATTAACATTCGTAAGTCTTAATATTGTAACGTCGATGACTTAACTCATTTGTCTTACAGAATCTTTATGCATAGTACTTCAATGCTTGTGATTTCTTGCCTAAATTACTCAATTCTTTATTAGATTTTTATTCATTTATTTGTTTACTTCTGAATATTGTACGAATAAATTTAAGTATATTTTATACAACACATGTTATACAAGTCTTTATTAATTATTTAACAATTAACACTTAGCTATGCTCTTAAGCCACTCATCTCATTAAATTTATATTAAGAGTAATTTCATTATAATATGAATTTTAATTGTATATCATACTTTACTCATAAATTCAAAGCTTATAAAGATTCACAAACGTTTCAAAGTCGCATATTTCAAGAGAATATTATCATTTCAAAATCGCGTTTGCTCTACGCATTTCTCAAATATTTCGCGACTGTGCACAAATAGACAAAGTGCATCTCTATACCTCTGTAGCTTTCTTACGATTGTCTCAATATATTCAAGTCCGAAAAATACATATATAATATATTCTAAATTAATATAATTTAAAAAAAAATAGATATTTATTGTTAATTCAATATTAAATATTATCTCAAATATGCATTATGTTGGCCAGTAAATGGGGCAATAGTATCACAAAACACGTAAGCGCTATATTAAGCGGGCAAAAGTACTAGGACAGAAATAGTGCACGTGGACAGGCTCTCTGATGTACAGGGTGATTTATAAAGAAATATGTAGGATATTTGTCGAATATGAGTTTTAGTAATAAAATAAGCAAATCTCTAAATTTGATATGTAATCTTTGTTTAACTAAGGTAATAGTTTTTCATTAATTAAATAAGCTAAGGATGAATTTTAAAAAGAAAAAAAAAAGAAAGCTGTTTCTAACAGTGACTCTGAAGAAGTTAAATATTTTTAATATCTTTTTTCTAATTATATATAAAATATGCAATATGTATAATAAATCATAAACTTGTATATAACAAACCTAGAATGCATCCGAATATCAGCAATAACGATATTAATAGCATCCAATGATACTTCATCGTCGTCATGATTATCCATCCACGATAAATTGCTAAATTTACTCCAAAAGTAGATAATATGGAAATCACTTCTCACTTTTATCCTCTTTTTTCCTCTTATAAAACACAAACGTCACTTTTGTGACGAATTATTTCTTTCTCTTTGAAAGACACGGATCACGATGAAGACAGCATAGAAACCAGGTGAAAAGGAAGTCGGAAGTGAAGGGTGTCTCTCGGAGGGGGGGAATAGCACCAAGGGGATGCGAAGCGTGACTTGGCGCAAGGTCGTACAAGAGCAAACTGAGCCAGAAGTAACTCCCTCTCCGAGTTTCTATCAAACTCCCCACCACATCTACCCTTTTATATACAGGGTGTCTCATTATTAGCACAATAAGCTCATTATTCTCTAAAGAAAAATAAATCAAGAAAATATGTTGTGAAAAATTTCTTTGTAAACTTTTTTTGACAAAAGTAGAAAAAAATATAAAAGTGATTACGTACTCTCTTAAACTAAATGAGTAACGACATTCTTGATTAAAGCAATGGCAAGATTTCATAGATATTCAGTGAAAACATTCACACTTTGCTGCTCCATCCTTAGGTTTCTTGTTACCATTGATTATGGTAACAAGATTTCATTGAAAAGTCTTAAACCCACTTAATCAATTCTTTTCAATGATATTTTATTGTTTGCACATATACACACACACACACACACACACACACACACACACAGAGTGCTATACTTAAACTAAAAACATTACTTATTAGTGATCATATATTGATTTTATTTAAGAGAGTATATAGTATAAAAATCGAAATTGGACTGCTATAGAGAAACATTGTAAACTATTATATTCTATATATTACTAATATAATATTTCAAGTTTTCATCATTATTGTTGCGCAATATTATTGAATACATTAGTAAACATACTAGTAAAAATATATTTTTTTATTCTCAGCTAAAGCAATAAAATTTTGTCAGATCAAATATTAAAAAAATAATCTAGGACAATTTACAAAAAATATTCACAAATATTTTATAATTGCTCTTAACTACAATATCTCCAGACTATTGATAATTATATATATATATATATTTTATATTTTTTACACTAACTACACTTGCGAATTAAAAAAACCGCACTATTATATATTTATATGCAATTATTTTTTAAATCACTTATATATAATTTTTTTAATCGTTTGCAATTATTTTAAAATGAATATTTAACATTGATTTATCCATACAAGAATAACAGAAACGTAATTATAATAAATATAGGTTAAATTCATAATCGTGATTAACTGAAGCACTCAAAAATTTATCTTATAATAAATTTTATAACATTATAATAAAATTTATTATAACATTATAAGATAAATTTTTGAGTGCTTCGGTTAATCACAATTATAAATTTGACCTGTGTCTATTATAATTATGTTTCTGTTATTCTTATACTTTCGTTCTGCAGCTATTAGTTCTTGTGTTTAATATATCATAAAATATAATTTGCAAAAAGAGAATTTTTTCTTAATTACATCTATTTTGATTAATATATCCTCATTTTTACATATATTGTAAAGGATTTCTAATCAATAAATATTTTGTGGCGTCCTCTTTTGATATACGATTTTGAAATCTTTCTACGCAATATGCCAAAATGAAAATGATCCATGTAAGTTAATATAAAGTTTTATTAATCAATATATGTTAAGAACACCCTGTAGACTAAATGAGAGACAGCGAGAGATTTCGAATGTCCCTCTTTCGATAAATCAGGGTGGATAATTACTTTCGAAGCTCACTTCTCATTTCACTTCTCATTTCTGAAAGAGACATTAAAGTCGAGGTTTCTGACACCCTAAAATCCATAAATAATTTCTAGATAGTTAACATTTTATAGCTGTGCTACTGACAGATTTGTACGATTTAAATTCTATTCTTATCAAGCTTCTCAGAAAATGTCATAAATTTTAAATTTTAAATTAAAAATTAAATCGAAATTGACACATAAGAGCCATAACGCAGTAGTTGGAGCGCAGAGAAGAAAGAACACTTCCTTCTTTTTTAATATATTAGTTTATTACAAAACTCAGTTTACAATAATAAAAGGCGGGCGTTTCGAATCATCTTTTAATCCTTTCTCAGCGCAATGTTAACAATATATATTACAAATTATGACGCGTTACATTATACGAATTCGTTTTCCGACGCGCAAATGACGCTAAATTGTATCCCGCGGAGGTCTAGCAAGTGCGCTGCTCCTAACAGTCCCTCAAATATACTATAATTGTGTTGTGCAAAGTCGCAGCAGATCAGATTCCACGCTTTTTTTACAATTAATAATAGCCGTTGTGTGTCTCATGTCGGTTCGAGATTCGATAATGAAATGAAAGTGAATTCCATCGAATCTCAAACCGACATGAAACACACAATGGCATACTATTATTAATTGTACAAAAAGCACGAAATCTGATCTGCTGCGACTTTGCATAACACAATTAGTATATTTGAGGGACTGTTAGAAGCAGCGCACATGCTAGACCTCCGCGGGATACAATTTAGCGTCATCCGGAAGATGATCCGAAACATTCGCTTTTTATTATTGTAAACTGAGTTTCGTAATAAACTAATATTAAAAAAGAAGGAAGTGTTCTTTCTTCTGCCAATTTTGATTTAATTTTTAATTATTTGAGTCAAATTCTTATTAATTATTAAATTTAAGTTTTTAAATATCACTATCTACTATTACATATATATGAAATGAATATACATAAAATAATCTATAATGATAATAATATATATAAAATAATATATATATATCTATAAATAATATATATATATATATATTATACATTATATATATATATAAAATGTTTGTGAAGATCAGGATCAAATTTATACAATAAGTTAATAATGGGATCGAGGTGAAAAAAATTAATATAAACTTTATAATTGTCTTTTATAATTATATCAAAAAAATGTTTTCTAAAAAGTTATATATTTTTAAAGGTAAACGAGCAAAATTCTTTATATATTTTATATAGTGTAAGTGTATCGTATCTTGCCAAAAATGTTATCCTCTTTTTTATTACACATTATGTGTGTTAACTTTTTCAGAACTTTTTAAATTTAATTTTGTAATCCTACACGTTGAACATTTTAAATATGTTGTCTTTCTTTTAGATTCGTCTTGATGCTATAAATGAGCGAATATTTGATTCAGAATAAAAAATCTACTCCGATTGGTCAATCAAATACTTATAATGTCAAAACAAACACAGCAAGAGTGAGTCTTACTTATATTATCTTATAAAAAATTGACCAAAATTAGAAAGAAATATGTATATTTTTGAGGGTGGATTTTTGTCACTTTTTATATTACATCATCTAAATTTTAAAAACATTTCTTATTAGATATTTTAGCAATGATTACAATAATGAAATTAGAAGTAGTTGTAAATTATTTATTTTTCTCCTTCAATCCGAAAGTACATACATAAAAAGTCAATGTTTTGATTATGATACTAAATAATATCAATGAGGGAATTTTTAACAAAGATAGCAAATTATATATATATATATATATATATATATATATATATATATGTATATATATGTATATATATGTATATATATATTCGCACACCACTTATCATATATATGTTCTTTTTTTTTGCGCGAATTAGACATTGAGTACGTCATTTCCTCATCTTTAAAAGCTTACTTCAGTGCGTTATAAAAACTAATGGTATGTACACTCTTTAAATTTTTATATTTTTTGGCTGCGGTCAAGAAAACGCTGAGAATGCTTTGAAGCGTTTGATTGACCAATCAGAATAAAAGGATTAAAGATTTCTTTAACCTGATTGGTCAATCAAACGCTTCAAAGCATTATTCTTAATGTTTCCTTGACTGCAGTCTTCATTAATGTTGCTGTTTAGTAAATTTAACATTTAATTTAACATTTTTTCAATTTTATATATGTCAATTTTATATATTATAAATCTGCAACTGTATAAAATCAAACAAAAGAAGATTAGATTTAAAGAGATAAATTATTAATTTATATATAGCGCGAGAGATAATGCGGTAATGTAAAATAAGTAAGTAGTTGAAAGAGTAACTTGGATGATTAATTTTTGATTAATAATAGATATTCACATATATATATATATATATATATATATATAAAATTAATTATAAGTTGATATATTATTAGTAATATTATATTTATATTTTTTATTGATATAATATTATAATTATATAATAATATTAGTTTATTCTTAATAATAATACTGATATTATTCTATGGATTACTTATTTACATTAACAATATTCTTCAACATGAAATATATCTTCTTTTACTATTATTTACTAAAAAAACTCTATTGAAAATTGTTTAAATAATTAATAGCAGTTAATAATCAATTGTATTAATTATTAATTGCTATTGATTATATTAATTGTATTAATTATTAATTGCTATTATGTATTGATAATTTGTTACAGTTCTATAACTTTATCTACTTTTTCTTTCAAAAGTCGGATTTGAGAATTTAAAAATAATTGCATATATATATATTCAATTATATATGGACGTTATATAGAATAAATTATAAAATGGAAAGTACAAAATGAAAATAGTATATTTAAAGCCATGAAAAAGCGATAAATCTTTTTATTATAAATATAAATTTGTGTGAATGTTATAACAAAGTACAACAGTTAAAAGTTATTTAATTCTTGAGTTGTTAATTATTTCTATAATCTTTTAATAATTATCCATTTTTTTTAAATTTTGATCACATTTTTCATTTAATTTGTTTTATGTAATATTATTAATATTATTTAATTTTAATAGTTCAAATTAGAATTATAAAAAAAATTATTTAGCTGTGAATGTAAAAATAGATATCTATGTTAAGTACTCTACAAAACTAGATAAATTCTACAAAGTTAGAAAGATAATACATACAGTATTTACATATAAATAGCAAAACAACTTATTATGATAAATATTATTTTTAGCAAATACTATTTATTTAATAACTGTTGTTATTATACTTATTTTTTCCCTGACATTTAATGCAAATATATTTGAATTATTTAACTATACATCTAACTGCGAAGACTCTGCAGTCTATTTTTCATTTCTTCAAGTTCTTTGTCATCATCTTCTACTTCTTCTTCTGCAGATGTAGAGGCTGCAACTGATCCAGGATTTTCTGTGACAACTGCAGGAGCTGTACCCAATTGACCAGCTGTCACCTCCCATAAAATCTGTAAGGAGAAATTTATTTATAATTAATATTTGTGCAAATCTCCCTTTATGATGAAAAATACCTAAGAAATTATTCATTAAAATTTTCTTCAGCATTCATTTTTTGTTCAATAAGTATGAAATAAAAGATAAAGTAAAAATACAATTTACCTTATCAACCTCTTCGTCAGCTTCATCTTCCATATCTTCAGAATCCTCGATGGAATCCATTGTTTCGTCCAACATTTCCTCGATAATTCCTGCTTTCATCATTTCTTTTGACATTTCTCTCATAGTTGCAGCTACTTCTGGTACTCTTATCAAAGATTGCATTGCTTGCATCACTTCTGTAGATTTTGAAACTGAACCAGCAACTCTGATTGTCGCCAATTGATTTTTCATTTGTAACGATACAGAATTTAGATGTGCTTTAGAAGTATAAATTTTGTTACAAGCTTTACGAGCCCTTATAATCTCCTTTGCAAGAATCTTGCAAACATCTTTATCTCCTTTCTTTGCTGCTTCCTTTAAGGAACGCTTTACTTTTTCTTCTTCTCTTTGAATTGCTATGCAAAAAAAACATTGATTATATAAACAATATTTAGAGTAAATGTAAAAGAAAAGAAAGATATTTGATTTAAATAAATATAATTATGCTAAAGATTTTAAATATATTAAAATTTAAGAATACTAAGAATGTGTGTGTAAGAATATTCCTAAAATCTTTTAGATTTTCTAAGCACAAAAGCAAAAATTCAAGATCAAAAATTTAACATAAAGCTCGAGGTTCTTACTGATTAAATAAATTAATTTTAATTATTACAATTTCTAAAGACTTTTCTTGAAAATTTTCTTTTTCAAACTCACCTCTAACCTGCCTGTCAAGTTGATAACCTTCCTTTCTTAATTTGTGGGTCCACTCTTGAACCTGTAAAATGATTAATTTTAACAAGTCAAACACAATATTTTCTGAAGCCTTACCATTTCTTTGGGATTCTTTTCCTGTGATTTTCCGAACAAGCCCATGTCCGAATTGCGTATATAGAAACGTCAAAGCACTCAGTCTCTGGTCAACATAACCTCACCGCTCTTCATTAATTTAAATTCTTCAAGGTTATATCGTCGATATATATCGTTTATATGGCCAGAGAGAAGAATGAGAGGTGTCATGGCCCGCTTTTAGGTGATCCCTGAAAGCGATACGCCCTCTGTTAATCTAAAAAACGTGGACATGAACTACAAAGCCAATGTCCACGAAAGTTCTCAGAGGGTAACATATAATGTGCACAATTTCTGGTTCTGTTCCCTGCTATGTGCACAAAATGACGGTACTACCAGTGCTGTATAGCAAGGTGCTTACGTATATCAAATAAATTTTAATATAAATGAGAAATGACGAATTTGAATGTATATATATATATATATATATATATATATAGAGAGAGAGAGAGAGAGAGAGAGAGAGAGAGAGAGAGATAAAATTTATAATAATAATAAAATTTATTTATCATCGAAATATATTTAATATACATAAACACCTTACAGAATTCGTGTTACAAATATTTCGTGCACATAGCACGGAATATATATATATATATATAGTGTACGCAGGAGTTATGTGAGCAAGCGAGAAGGTAATAAGAGGGAGCGAAATGGCAATAAGAGTGAGCGAGATAGGAATAGAACGAGCAACGAAGACTCGAAAATCGAGTCTTTGTTGCAGCCTGGCATACTATTTCTCTCTCGCTCGCTCCTATTACTCTCTCGCTTGCTCCTATTACTATCTCGCTCGCTTCTGTTATTATTTCATCTGTTATTATTTCTTATGTACTCATATACTGTCATGTTCATCTCGTTATCAAGTCTGCCGCTGGCAAGCGACCGATGACAAACTAATGAAAATTTTGCGATTAAAATAATATCAAACACGGTATCAATCGGACAAATGTAGTTAAATATATATAATCAAACTTTTTATTATCAGACTAATTAAAAATTATCCGATTTACGTCGTGTTTGATATCATTTTAATCACAAAACTCTCAATAATTCATTAAAATTACTTTCATATCGATAAAATAAAAAATAAAAGTTTCAGTTTTTATTTTATAATCTCGTAAATTGCGAATGGATAGAGAAAGTGAAGAAGCCGATTGTAAGACACTTCGGAATTCTTTGATGATAGGTCATCTCGCTCGCTCTCGACTCGCTGTCGCTCTCGCACTTGACAGGTCGTAAAGATAAGCGGACTCGGCTTCCTCGCGAATGTAAACATCTTATAAAATAAAAACTGAAACTCTTATTTTTTATTTTATCCATTTGAAAGTAATTTTAATGAATTATTGAGATTCTTGCGATTAAAATGATATCAAACACGATGTAAATCGGATAATTTTTAATTGGTCTGATAATAAAAATTTTGATTATATATTTAACTACATTTATCCGATTGATACCGTGTTTGATGTTATTTTAATCGCAAAATTTTAATAAAAATTTTAATAAAAATTTTGCGATTAAAATAACATCAAACACGGTATCAATCGATTAAAATAACATCAAACACGGTATCAATCGATAAATGTAGTTAAATATATAATCAAAATTTTTATTATCAGACCAATTAAAAATTATCCGATTTACATCGTGTTTGATATCATTTTAATCGCAAGAATCTCAATAATTCATTAAAATTACTTTCAAATGGATAAAATAAAAAATAAGAGTTTCAGTTTTTATTTTATAAGATGTTTACATTCGCGAGGAAGCCGAGTCCGCTTATCTTTACGACCTGTCAAGTGCGAGAGCGACAGCGAGTCGAGAGCGAGCGAGATGACCTATCATCAAAGAATTCCGAAGTGTCTTACAATCGGCTTCTTCACTTTCTCTATCCATTCGCAATTTACGAGATTATAAAATAAAAACTGAAACTTTTATTTTTTATTTTATCGATATGAAAGTAATTTTAATGAATTATTGAGAGTTTTGTGATTAAAATGATATCAAACACGACGTAAATCGGATAATTTTTAATTAGTCTGATAATAAAAAGTTTGATTATATATATTTAACTACATTTGTCCGATTGATACCGTGTTTGATATTATTTTAATCGCAAAATTTTCATTAGTTTGTCATCGGTCGCTTGCCAGCGGCAGACTTGATAATGAGATGAACATGACAGTATATGAGTACATAAGAAATAATAACAGATGAAATAATAACAGAAGCGAGCGAGATAGTAATAGGAGCAAGCGAGAGAGTAATAGGAGCGAGCGAGAGAGAAATAGTATGCCAGGCTGCAACAAAGACTCGATTTTCGAGTCTTCGTTGCTCGTTCTATTCCTATCTCGCTCACTCTTATTGCCATTTCGCTCCCTCTTATTACCTTCTCGCTTGCTCACATAACTCCTGCGTACACTATATATATATATATATATTCCGTGCTATGTGCACGAAATATTTGTAACACGAATTCTGTAAGGTGTTTATGTATATTAAATATATTTCGATGATAAATAAATTTTATTATTATTATAAATTTTATCTCTCTCTCTCTCTCTCTCTCTCTCTCTCTCTCTCTCTCTATATATATATATATATATATATATATATATATATATATATACATTCAAATTCGTCATTTCTCATTTATATTAAAATTTATTTGATATACGTAAGCACCTTGCTATACAGCACTGGTAGTACCGTCATTTTGTGCACATAGCAGGGAACAGAACCAGAAATTGTGCACATTATATGTTACCCTCTGAGAACTTTCGTGGACATTGGCTTTGTAGTTCATGTCCACGTTTTTTAGATTAACAAAGGGCGTATCGCTTTCAGGGATCACCTAAAAGCGGGCCATGACACCTCTCATTCTTCTCTCTGATATGGCGTTTCGCCTAAACTAGTATATATAGTTATTTTTATAGTCTATATATAGTTATTTTTTTAATATTGCTAGTACTGACAGTTTGTATCTCTCAGAATATCAGAAAACACACAAGTATTATCAGAAACTATGTGAAGTAAAATTATCCTTGAAAAATTGAAAGGAAAAAGCTAAAATGTAAGTAAAAAATATCACAAACATTTCCTTATACTATTTATATTTACACAATTAATTTTTCAATAAATTTAAGTGACAGCAATGTGTGTTGTTTATATTTCATTAAACTAGATTTCAAAAATAAACTGGAAGAATTATGCAATAATATTTTAATAATAATAATTAATATTGCGTCCTTGATAAATAAAATCGATTGTGTTCCAAAAGTTTAATATCATCTTAGATAGCGAAATCTGTCAAAAGTATAGATTTTCTTAAATACATACTATAGCTTTATGCTTATCATTACAGCAATTTGATATAATATTTAATATTACAAAACAATATTATATACTTATTTTTAGAAATCCCTAAATAAAATTTATAAAAACTTGTTAAAATTTATAGGCACAAGAAAAGAAAAATATTTGAAAAATAAATTTATCCAATATATATATATATATATATATATATATATATATATATATATAATTTAACGGAAAATATATATAACAATTTTACAGTATATATATATATATATATATATATATATATATATATATACTGTAAAATTGTTATGTATATATTCCGTTAAATTATATAAATTATTATTAAATTACTAAATTATATATACACACATATTGTCTGAATTTAATTATTATTGTAATTATAATATATGTATTTAATTTAGAAATTTACAATAATACGATTAATTTATAATAATATTAATTTGTTTTATAATAAAGCCTAAAATCTCGTAAATCTTTTTGTATTTCAACATTTTTATATCTTAATAATTTTTTTTTGAACAATAAAGCAGATCTACGAGAGAGAAATTTAATTTTAAGAAAATTTTAAGAATATATTCCAAAATATTTTAAATAAATAATTTAAAAAGCAAATTTATAAGAATTTTAAAAGAAAATTCATGAAATTTGTAAAAAAAAGGTTTCAATTTTTTAAAGTGATTATATGAAATTTTAAAAAATTTATTATATCTTAATAAATTGGAAAATAATACGGCTCTATGTATTTAACAACATGATAATTAAGAAACGAGCACTAAGAGCCTACAAAACGATTCAGCGCCGATTCAGCGACTTCGCTCCGATATTTTTCCTGTCTACATCTCTCCAGGGGGGTAAAGGGGTGTTATAGAAGTCTCAAACCAAGAGAATCTATAACTTGGCATATGTGTATATGTCTTTAAAAAATTTTTCGCGAACAATTAATGTTCGAAATAATTTACGCATTGCCATCCGCGTTTTGTAGGCTCTTAGTGCTCGTTTCTTAATTATCATGTTGTTATTATATCTTATTATATCTTATTATATCTTATTAAAGAGAAAGAATTTTTTAAAGCTATTAATTAATTCCTTATGTTTTATTTATTTGAGAAAAGGCCTTTAAGCCAATAAAGTATAGATTTCACTAATTCTGCTCTTCTATTTAAAATGCCACTTGTATTTCGCTGATATCTATACGGTTTTTTATTATCTTCAGCAGAAATTTTAATTCTTGAATCATTCTGCTTATTGTCAATCATACGCATTTTATGCTCCTTTTTTTTCTTTTTATAAAAAACATTTCCTATAAACAGAATTATTCTATTTTTACTATATTGTGTGTGTATTTACTTATCGGTTTGCTTATCTAATTATAAGTTATTACCTTTTTCAGTATTTGTTAATTTATCCCGACTTGTTTTTTCGCTCTTCATGTTGACGTTATCTCCGGAAATAATAATCTTCGAAATAGGAATCCTCTCTCGATTTTCATATTCTATAATGTGCTGAGGCTTTCTTTCTTTTTCCTTTTCTAGAACTGTAACATTTCCTAAAATAGAATTTTTTACATGTATTCTTTTCATATTTTATTTTTTATTAAAGTTTATATGATGATTACCTTTTTCAAAATCCACTATTCGGTATTTATCCGATTTCATTTCCTCATTGTTTATTTTAGTGTCTTCTTTGGAAATATCAATACTTTTAAAAGGAGGATTTCTTTTTTGATTTTTAGAATTTATTATTTGCTCAATATTTTGAATGTTTTTTTCAGTTTCGAATTTATGAAAATTTTCAATTATTTCAAATTGATTTGCTTTTGCATTTTTTTTTCGTGATTCAATTTCTACTGAATTCTCCAAATCAGAAAAATCTTGAGAAATTGAAGGTTTTGAGAAATTCGTGCTTATGGTATCTTTTCTCTCTCGAAAGTTTACCGAATTTTGTAATTTATCAGTTGCCTCTTTATTTTCACTCGCAAATTCATTTTCCTTTGTTTCAAAATTATTATTGAAATTTTTTTTCTCTGATTTATCGTATTCAAATTTTTTGATTGCCTCTGTTAATAACTTATTATAGTTTTGAATTATGTCATAAGATTCAGTTTCATTAAATAGCATTTTTTTTTCTTTGTTAAAATTGAGAAATAAATTATATTTCTTCGTACAATCAATGACTGGCATCAAAATTGTTATTAAATTTTTATCATTTAAATTTTGCTTCCAATGATAGTGCGCGCTCATCCTTTCTTTTTCTTCTCCTAATTTTTGCATTCTTAAAATATTTTTTCCCGTCATTATAGTTATCATGTTGGGCGATTCAGTCAAATAATAATCTTTTTTATCATCATTCACATACATATCTTCTTGACTTGAAGTCATCATATCTACATCTTTTTGGTTTTGATTTTTATTCCACAAAATCACATGTTCTTGTAATGGCACACAGCAGGGACATTTTCTTTCCAGGATTTTTTTTTGCTCACATATGTCTTTGGTGATCGATAACACATAAGAACCATCTTTTAATTTTCTGATCTCGAACGGTAATTTCATGCTGTCGTTAATATAATAAAGTTGTGATTTCTCAAGTTCGGAGATATCGGAAGTAATTAATGAGGGAAATAGTTGAACAAGATTTGTATCGTTTAAAAGACATGATTTGAAGGATGAAATAGTTACATTATTTGTTTCTGTAATAATATTATCATTAGTAGTAATATCAGCATTATACATTTTGTTGCCAATTAAATTGTCATTGTCAATGCTGCTATTTTTGTCCTTATTATCGTTGTTGCTATTTGCATCAGCTTTATAAGTTGATGAAGATATATTGATCATTGGCCTATTGTCAGCAGAAGATTTTACCTTTAAGTATGTAGTTTTTGCGTACGTTTGTTGAACTTCTGTAGTAGCTTCGTAGATTTTGGCAATAATGTTATTTGTCTTAAAATCCTGCTGCTGCGAATCTAAAACATTGTTGTCTGTGGAAGGAGTAATTTTGGCTTCATAATTTCCATAGTCTACATTTAGAGATGAAATTACATCATCAATTGAAATAGTCGATATTTTTTCATTTAATATGCTTTCTTCATTCCCGATATTTTTAGTACTTGTTATATTTTGTGAAATTATGCTATCCGACATTTGTGCATGATCGGGTAAAGTTTCTTGTATAACACTTATAAATGCATCAGCATTATGATGATTTTTTATGTATTTTAAAATTTCTGGCGAATAATATTTTATTGGTGACAAATTATGTTCAATCCTCTCTAATATTATTGCTGGATCAATTTCATCAGTCGAAGAAGCGATTTTCGATTTCTCTTTTCGATATTTTATATCTGTAGATGAAATTAAATTATCAGGTAACTTCGTCAATATTTCTCTATTTAAGATGAATTCAGTTTTGTTTTCAATATCTTCAATTTCTTCCATGTTTTCCGAAATTATGTCATTCGACATCTGTGCGTAATTTGATGAAGTTTTTTGTATAAAGTTTGTGGGCATTGTTGTAATTTGAACATTTTCTTCGTTGATATGATAATTTTGTGTATATTTCAAAACTTGATTATCCAGTGAATCATTTATTAACGATTTATTATTGTTATTATTTACATTAATATCCTTTATTCTCGGCGTTAAAGTAACAATATCATTTTCTGTTTGATCAAGATTTTTAGTTATAATCGGTGAAATTATAGTTGTCTCTAGAAATACATTTTTTTCTTTTGTATTTAATTTTTCAGCTTTTATTAAATTTGATTCTACAGGAATTGCTGACATGCTGAGATTATTTTGCGAAATAGCTTTATGGTATGTTGTTTTTAATGATTCAGCTAGTTCTTTCTCTTCATTGTCTTGTGTATCTATCTTCTGTATCCCATTTAAGATTTGATTTCTGACATTTTTGTCTGTTTTATAAATAATTTTCCTTGATGTTTTTTCTTCAATGCTTTCGTCTTTCTCATATTCTGTTAAATCTAAAAAATTAGAAATAATCATGCTAGCGTTATTTTCTAACGCCTTAGGTTCCTGATAACTAATCATCTGCACTTTCTCATTATCTATTTTTGTACTTTTTGTATCTTCTAAATCTTTTACTGTCTGAAGAATATTATTTAGCACATGAATTATTGAATTATCTATTTCCTTATGTTCGTCTTTGGTTAAACTGCTTTTCACGCTTTGCGCGATCATGTTCCGCATGTATTGATCTGCTTGCGATGCGATTGCTGAGGAGTTTAAAAGATTTTTGCTTTTCTGCAAGTTTACCGGATTTGCTATTGATAATTTACTGTCTGGAACCGATGCTAAGGTTATTGGATTGATGGTCCATTGTCCGTCCTTGAATTGATGTTCCTCGACCGTCATTGATGGGAGCTTTTGATGAAAATTTGCGGAAAAAGTCTGCAATATGCTATGGAAACTGTTCTTGATCATATCAAGTGACCTATCGCCTGTAAAGTTTCTTTTGAGAATAGCTGTGATATCGGGTAAAACATCTTTCACCTTTTCTACAATTGTATTTTCTGTTTGCGGAATTGACAGAATATTCTCGAGATTCGGAATTTGTGAAATTTCTGGCAATAAATTTCTATCTTGTTTTTGAAGAATATTTTCATTAAGATCTTTTGTTTCGGTTAAGAAAGTATTCGATGTGAAATCATTGATGACGTTTCTAATGGAATTTAAAAGTAAAGTATTATCACAATATGGTAATATTTTTGATGGTAAATCGATAGTTGTTTCGGGTCTATTGGTGATATCTTCTTTATTATTTAAATAATTTGTTTTTTCATCAAGATATTGTGTTACAGGTTGTTTTTGAAGAATCTCATTTTCAAAGTAAATGGTTTTCTCTAATGAATCATTTTCAGTTGTTTCTTCAAAGTTATATTCAGTGTTAGAATCAGAGCTGATAGGTATAATTTTTTCTTCAAGCTGTTCTTGAAATATTTTTTTTTCAGAATTAAAATTAATATTTAATTTTTCCAAATCATACATATTTTCTTCTTCAGAATTATATATTGCTTTAGAATCATAATTGATAGAAATTTCTTCTGATTGTACTTCAAGAATTTCTTTGTCACGAGAAGTATTGATCTTTGATTCATTCGATTTATTTGTAATTTCCTCTTTAAAATTATGTCCGACTTTTAAATTATAATTAATGGTTGTATCCTCTTCTTTAAATTGTTCTTCAGAAATTTCGTCAGGATAAAAATTCATATTTGATTCTTTTAAATAATTTTTATTTTCCTCTTCAAAATTATATTCAGTTTTTAAATCATAAATAACAGTTGTAGGTTCTTCTTTACGATCAGTATTTTGTACTCCAAGAGTACTCCATGAATTAATATTTATATCTGCCAAAGTTGCCAAAGTTTGTTGATCAATTTTCAAATTGTCCAGTTCTTTATCGTTATTATATTCATATGAATTAGTAGAATAAAGATATTTCTCACTTGAAGATGGATTTAAGGCTTCCTTATTATTTGAATTTAACAATGGCTTAACATGACTCTTACTCTTTCCTAACAATGTATTTCTTTCAATCTCCATAGTCTTATCAGTTATCTGATCCATCAATTTTTTCATTGGCATATGTGTATCTTCTTTAATATTAAATAATTTATCATCATAATTTTTCTCATCATAATTGTCATTATTTAATTCATAAGTTTGTTTGATAGATTCTCCATGTCGATACAATTCTTGTGGAAACTTTTCATTAGAATCAATTAGAATTAATTCTGTATTTGTTGATTCAAGATACTCATTCAAATCAACATTTGTTGATTCAAGATACTCATTCAAATCAATATTTGACGTTTTAATTCCACTAGTGGATGATTTCGATTCTACATACGTATCAATTGTTTTAAATTTATCCAAATAATTGACGTTATTTGTTGTTCCCTCCTTAGTGGACATTTGCATTATATATTCCGGAATTCTAATCGTAGAATATTCATTTATATTATTCTTTGGTATCTGTTTTGCAAGTACTTCTGGTGACGTTGCACTGAGCACACACACGTCGCGACCGAATAATTTTATACACTCTTCCATATTTATCAATTTCTCATTTTGCATGATTGATGGATAGATGATGGATGGTGTTCTACTTCTATCAATATAATTTGTAAAAAATGGCATTAGCTTAGAAAAATCATCTTCTTGATTTTCTTTAGTTTTTTCTGTAGAATTCTTTAATTTATACGTTATTCCATCTAAATTAGAAATATCTGTAATGCTACTTTCTTCAATTTTATTAACCGAATAGCTTGGATAAAAATTAGTCTCTGTTTCTGAATTAATTGACACAAAATTATTCGGAGTTTCTGTAGTTAACTTAAAAAAATATTTTTCATCTTTTCCAATGGTTTCCATCGATTTAAGATCATTCTCTGTTTGTTGTCTAATTGTTGCACCAACATAGCTTGTCGAAGACGAAGTAGTTGATGTAGGACTTTCAATTCGATTTTCTTCATCTGTACGTGGACAGGGATGTAAGTTTCGATGAATAATCGGATGATATTGATTGTAAGCGTTACTTTTAAGTAGAAAATTTGGTCTGTTCTCAAATGAAGGAAATGGAATATTATCAAATTTTTTCTCGTTTCTGATTATGTAAGGTAAGGTTTTTTGTAAAATTGGTGCACGAGGGATATTCATGGGATGTATTCTTTCTTGGTAGAATGTGGGAAAAGAGTTGATTAGATTAGGAACTTGTAATTCTTGAAGACTTTTATGATACAATTTTGGCGATGTTTGATGTAAGACATTTGATTTTATATTTTCCTCTTTTGCTTTCTGACGGTTTATTTTTTCAAGCTTGTCTTTTCTGGGAGAACTTAATATTTCCGATGAATTTTTCATCGATGATTTAGAGAAGCAATTCTCCTCTTTGCAATAACAAATACAATTTTCCGTATTACATTTCTTTTTCTTTTCTTGAGATTCCAAATTTAAAATTACATTTTCTGCATTCATGTTATTTTTGAGGGCTCGTAAAAACGTATTATCTTTATATGTTTCAGCTTTCTTCTTATTTGCAGGAATTTCTTGTAAATACTTTATGTTTTTTAAAAGAGTACGGGCATTTGAATTTTGCCTGGGAATTTTAATATTTCTATCAAGACTTCCTACCTTCATCTCTGCTCTGATGGAATCTTCCTTTTTTCTCGCTAATGAGAGAAATTTGTTTTTCTTAGATAATGTTCCGCAACGTTTCATTTTTTGGACCATTTCTTTTGGCTCTTTGTAATCATTTCGTGTTTGCAATGGTGGGATTATTAAAAAAAGCGATCTCTTTGTATTATTCTTTGTGAAATTTTGATCATTGTGCAATGAGTATGGTACAATTGTCGACAATCTATAAGTAATTGAATATTCGGTTAAAAAAACGCTTGTTGATTCAATTAATAAATTAAATATTTCAAATGCCCATGTAATTTTTAACAACTAAATATTTAAAAAAATAATTTATTCAATTCAACTTTATTTGAATAAATTAATTCAAGTAAATTCATGTACGAAACTAAGGGTAATTTTTATCGAACATATTTTATATTTCTGTTCTATTTTTAGATCATCTTTATTCTAGACATTATCATGTAATTGATAATTTGGCAATTTCAAAGCTCTGCAGTTTCATAATTTCTTACAAAATTCAGCAGTTTATTATGTGCACGAATAATATAAACGATTGTGCTGACAAACAATTAAGCAATTAAAACTAACATACTTTTATGTTTACAACTTGCATTAGGCTATTTAAAATTGAAAAAAAAAGTTTTAAAAATCAAATTCAAATCATATCTAATGTAAAAATCTAATTAAAAAGGTATTTAAATATTGATATTTGTTTTTCACTTAATTTATATTATAAAAAGAATATTATTAAAATCTGATGATTTAATAAAATCACAAAAAGTTTTGCAAAATTTATAGAACATTAATTTTAATTAATATATTAAAAATTAAAACTTTCTTAATTAGAATTTTAATTTATATTAAAGAAAAAAAGATCTAAGATTTTTTAAAATTTTAATTTACTTATCAATTAATTAAAAGTTTTTTTTTACCTTAAACTTAAGAAATTTGCTTGCGTCACATTTTTGACAGAAATTTCTTCCGAATAAACAATCACAAATAACATCAATATGATCAAAGTAATTTTTTTATACATATCGATCACATTCACCGTTAATCATTACTTGATGCTATTATGCTCCTTGATTTTGGACACAAGATCACTTTTACTTTACACACAAAAAATGATAGTTATTATAATAATAATATATATGTGTGTATTTATAATACTATTTACAGTATCCATCACATTGTACAATTCTTTCTTATTAATTATGCTATGATTTATTGGACATTCTAAATAACAATCGAATAAAAATAAGCAAGTTTTAAAAATAAATTTAATAGTTAAACTTAAAAATTGTTGAAATGAAAGACATTAATAAAATGAAATAAAAATTTAATTTTTATTAAACAATTTTTATAAACAAAATTTAAATGTTAAAAAAAATTAAATTATTAAATAATTATTAAATTAATTTTAACTTTAATTTTAAAATATATGAAATTAAATATTACAAGTTGAGAAAATATTAATTCTAATAAATATATGTAATGGCGAATATTTATATACTTCGTTCTGATATCTCCAGAGACGAACTGAATTTGATCGTGATCGAAATCGTACTAAATAATTTGGCGATTGGTTTTACATATATCCTTGTCATCATATTGTGACGAAATTTAGCTCGTCCATTGTGTCGTAATCGTATGTGTATATGTGTGAACAAGTTTTGATTCATTAATGACCTCATTTTTTTAAGAATCTCTTGCAATTATAATATTCTTCATGATATTCTATTTTCGTAATGTAAATATTTTTAATCGTTACGCACAATTTATTTCAAATATACATTTGCATCTGCTTAAAATAAATTCTAATAGGATTAATCTTTAATTATTTGTTATTGGAAGTAAATAGTAAATATTCTTGAACATCTGTAACAGTATCGTATAAAGTTGTATGTAACATGGAGCCTATAATTGTCAATTTTTTTTTAAATTCATGTTTTATATTAATTTATGTATCTGTTTAAAACTTTAATCATTATTCATTCCGCAGTTTGGATACAATAAATATTAATATTACATTAATTTCTATATACAAAAGACAATTACTAATCGTCTTGTATCCAATATTTATTATATCTTAAATAAATGAAAATTATCATGATAATTTGCAATTATTTCGATATTTACAACTATTAAGTATAAAATTTAGAATTTAGGATTTATCATTCAAAGTATAATAATTTACTTTTTATTACTAGACAAAAATCTGAGGAGAGAAATCCGAAGGAGTTGACAGGATGACAGGATTCAACACTTTCGCTGAAACGACCGGTAAGTAAATTTATTTATGTAATTAACTCTCTTGAACAATAAATGGCGTGAAAGTCGAGTACAGCAAACCCTAACTCAATTTTAATCCGAAACAAAATTGTTTCTATTAAAAAAGAGAAAAATATTTTAAAATAATTATAATAACATTTACATAAAATATTGCAAAATGTATAAAATTGATTTTATAAACGTTATAAATTAGTTTTAATATACGGGTAATAAGAATAACTCGATATTCGTTAGTAAAGAGGATTAATGACGTATTTACTCGCATTAAATCCGCTCACATATTTTAATTTATTATCCCGATTACATTTTCGGTATTTGTTAGATAAATTTAAAAATTAAAATTGCTATTATTGTGTTATGTATTAAAATTGTCATTATTATATCATATCAATTTAAAAAATAAATGTATATAATATTTATATGTGAGTGTATATATATAAATTTAGAACGTGACTTCTACTTTAATAAATTAAATTCTTAATTAACATGATAAAAAAATGATAGTACTTCGTACTTATTTGAAATAAGAACACACACAATTTTATTTGCCCACAAAAAGAATGAGCTATAAAAGTATAAAAATATTTTAAAGAAATGATTTATCCGATTTAAGAATAAAAATAATTATATATGATACATATATCTTAATATAAGAATTGTTTGTAACAATTTGCAATAATTTTCCTTTTGTTATTAATTTTACCAATAATTATAGTTAAAAATTATGCTACATTTGCAATGTAACTTTGAGAATTTTAAAAATATTTTAAGCCTGCTTTTGTCATATTTTTAGAAATTGTTATTCTTAATGATTTTCTGTTTTGTGTTGTTATATTTGCAACAAAAAAGGCAGTTTTGTCAATTTTTAAAGATATTCAAAATATGTTTGCATATGTATTTTTTAAATTATACTGTAACTTTTAAATGGCATAGTTACAAGCGAATAAAAAATTATAAATGCATACAATTGAAGAAGTATGACAGAGGTGTCATCAGAAAAGATGAGTGATTTATATATTCACAAGGATACATTAGGTAAATGTGCAGTTATTGTATTAATTATTGCTACATCATACATAGAATTTACACAAACAAAGTAATTATCTCAAATCAATTATTTTCTTCTTTAAAAATTAAAAAATAAGTTGGACATATATTTAATTAAACTAAAATCAATTAATTCTTTTTAATTGATAGTTATATATATATATATATATATATATATATATATATATATTATGTGTGTGTAAATATTTGGCTTTTTAATAATTTAAAAAAAATCATTATTGCTCATGCTTAACAATCTCGGCGGAATTAATACAATTGACATTAAATAATTAAGAAATATATATAAGATATATATATATATATATATATATATATATATATATATATTGTATATACTATACAGAGAGTTTGGATATACATATATACATTACATCATGTAGTATACCAGATAAAGTTTTTTTTATTTGAGATTCCTTAAAATATATATATTTACATAAAGGTTTGGGAAATTTCTGATAAAAATGCAATAAGTTTTTTTATACTCATAATCGCAACATGAAAAAGATTTTCGGTAGTTTCGGAAGTTTTATTTTTTAAATGTTTTTCTTCTGAAGCCAAAACAGTCTTGTTATATTTCTCTTCGAAATTATCGATAAATAGTTTCACAGGTTCTGTGAGATTTTGCGTGTTTTCCAAATCATTGATAATTGCTCTTTGTGACTTTGGAATTATCTCTTTTTTAAAAAAGGATAATTTTTCATCGCTTTTTAAGACATTGTTTTTTAAACTTTTATCCTTTTCCTTATTTTTCATAACAAGGATTTTATTATTATATAAATAATTTTTATTACGAGCTTTTATGAAGTCTTCAAGCAGATTGTCGTGATTTCTTTTATTTATTTGAGTTTGTAAATAACTTGTTTCTGTATTGTTTTTCGTTATCATTTTTTCTTTTTCTTGTTTAGTAATATTTTTATTTAAAAAATTTTCCGTGTCTTCGTGCTTGTTATTTTCAATCAAAATAAACTTGTTTGATTTTTTTGACTGTATTTTATAAAAATAAAATAATATATTAAAATAGATGATGTATAATGTAACGAAAAAGAGAGAGAAAAAAAGAGAGAAATAAACAGAAATATTTACTAATATAAAATAATATAAAATAATAATAAATAATTTCGTAAATTAAAATAATTTATAGAAATAAATTATTCTTATTAATTCTTCATCTTATTAATTTAGATATTACAGCAGAAAAAGCACATATAACATAATTATCGAGAAATGATCATTAAAAGTAACGATTATTGACTTTCTAAGCTATATTATTTTGTAGCTTGTACGTGAAAACTACAATATTAATTTAAGTTATAATTTTTATATTGAATCTATTTTTTATATTGTTTGATAATTACATATGTAAACATCTTTTTTCATCTAGTAAAAGATCAACCGCAGTTTTAACAGATTATTATTACGTTATGAGAATAATTACCTCGCCTTCTATTTGGTTTATGCCTGCAATTATTTTGTTTTTGATCTCTCTTCGCTGCCTTCTTTTCTCATTTTCTTTTGAAGGAAATAACATTTCACATTTACCAGATGGTATTTGGTCTTTTATTTCTAAATATTTAATTTTTTCGTTTTTATGTTCGTCTTTTTTCTCTGATTCATGATTAATTCCTCTATCTTTGACATGTATAGAAACATCTTGCATACTTTCCGATGAATAAACTTCTTTATCTGGAATATTTTCATTTAGCAGATCCGAAAGATCTTCATATACAAGTTCTTCTGAAAATTCATCATCCGAATATCTTATTGAATCTAATATTTTTCGTGCTAAATATTGACTTTCGGAATAAGGAATTTCGGAACTTTCTAACGAATCTTCATAATCTTTCACTTCCAACATCTTATATGAATCTTTAGTCGGTATAAAGACGATACATTTTGTTGACTTATATTCTTTTTCATCTTGCTGATTGATTTCCAAGTTTTTCTGCGAAGAAGTTAAGTAATTTTTTAATTTTTGAAACTGAATTTTATTTAATGGTAATTCATCATTTTTTGTTAATAGATAGAACAGGATTGGTTGATTGCTAAGTATTTCTTCGGAGTCTTCCTTTAAGTGATCGTACATATCGTAATTTGATCCGTCTTGTGTATTTGTTCTTGTCAATCTAGAAAATCGAAAGAATAATCATTAATACTAGTAATAAATATAAAAACTAGAAAAAATTTAAAACTAACTGTGAAATTTGAAAAATAATTATACATATCTTTTATATATCGTCTTTTTTACTAAATCAGCAATTATACATATAATTGTATAATATATATATTTTAAATTAATTGGTTTATAATTATAGAAACTTCTAATATTGCTTGTTTATTGTCACTTGTCTAAATATATATATATATATATATATATATATATATATATATAGATCTTATTTAATAAAATAATAAATAATAATAAAATACATTACAGAAAATATAACAATCGCTCTAGATGTTCATCGCTTCTAATATTTCTTCGTGTTCTTGCATTTCCTGTTTCAAGTTTGCTCAATCCAGAATCATTATCAATAATTTTTTCAACATCTTTGACTGCGTTATTATTGTTAGCCATCTCATTATTTATATCATTTTGTATCTCGTTATTTGAATCGTAGAATTCATTAATTTTTTGGGTATCTTTAGCTATCTTAAATATATTCTTTGCTATATTTTTTCTTTTATTATTTAAATGTGTCGTTGTATATTCTGACTCTGCAACATTCTTATTAAATTTTCTTATATTTAACGTTTCTTCTTCATGTATATCAATATTTTTAGGAGTTATAATTTTTTCGGTAGTATCTTCAGTTTTTTCAACATTCAATATGTCTTCTTTTTCATGAGAATTGATAAATTTTTCATTTTTTACGTATTCTCCAATTTTTACATCTTTTGCCAATTCCATTTTTGTATCTGTTGTAGGCATATTTAAGTTACCATGTTTTGTTTCAAGATCTTTATAAATATTATTTAATTCATCTGTTGTTGTATTGTTTATAATTTGATCAATATTCCGTCGATTAAGAGGATTTGACCAGATTTGTGCAAATCTTGCGATATCGTTTGGCCGGTCATGTTGTTTGTGTATATCAAAAATATATACGGCATTAGCATTTTTTTGATCATTTTTAATCGATGTTTTTTTCATGTATTCTTGTAACTTGGAAGTTTGATGTTGGTCTTCGCTAAATGTTGATTTTAAAAGAATTTGATTAATTTTTTCAAGCATCCATTTTGGAATTGAATTTTGACTTTCGAGTTTAATCTTTGAGTAATATTTCGGAAGTTTTGAATGATTATCGTGCAATTGTAATATCGGCTCGCCGTCGCGATACGAGAACGATGAAGGATCGATTGCAAAGATTCTATAATTATAGGACTTAGAAGGTACTCTTGATTCTCCCTCTTCAATTATTTTTTCGGAATATCGACAATCTTGATGATCTTTATGATTCGAAAATCTAGGTATTTCTGCTAGTTCTTGTTCATTTTTTATTATTTTTGGAAGATGCTCGTAATATTGATTATATTTGGAATTTAAAGCTGTAAGGGTCGATTTTTCATCGTCTTCAGTTATTTTCACGTGTCGAGGAAACTGATAATATTTCGGATAACGTTCTTTCTTTATTTTCGCAAATGTATATATTCGATTTGGAATATTTTCATGTTGTTTAGAAACAAATTCGATAGGAATTTCATATTTTTCATTATTATTAGCCTTGGGAATGTCATTATCGTTTAGAATGCTAACAAACTCTCCCTGATCGATCTGATGACGAAAATGATCGTTTTCGTAAAATTTCTCCCAAATTTCTCTTCTCTTCAGATTCCGCTTCTGTTCGTTCTCCGTTAATTGATGGTGATATTGCTGCAACAATTTTTCCTGTCTCGCATATAGCTTTTCTTTCAGCTTGTTGATCTGCTTCGCACGTTTGTTCAAGTATTCCTCATATCTCGTATGTTCTTTCAATGGAGTTTTACGAAATATAGTTTTCAATTTTTTTGTTTCAATATTTTCCTTTAATTGTGTCCCAGCTGCGGATTCAATATTCTGAGTATTTTCAACACTTTGTACATTATCTTTTGATTTTGTTTTTGACTCGCTCGATTCTGAATTATTAAGTGTTCTATATGTTATTCGCTTTTTGATAAAATTGTTATTTGGTAAAATTGTTTCCGTCGTCATTTGCTCTTCGGCAATTCCCTTTGTTGTTTCAAGAAAATTCGTTGATTTTAAACTAATTTTATAGTTATTATCGCGCCGTTCTTCGTCTTCCTGATTTTCGGTAATTGTTGAGTAAGTTGAGCTGTCGGTCTTTTGTTCCTTGATGAGATTTTGCGTTTTTTCGCGGATTTTTTCTTGCTCGTCCTCAGTCGTGGAGATAATAATATCTTGATTATCCGAAAACATTTTAAAAACAATCTGGGAAGGATCATACGTCGTTGTCTTGTTTTCCGATTGGATGCTTGGTGATTCGGTACGAAAAAACATTTTTGTAATATCATTGTTAATAATATCATCATTATTCAATTCTTCCGCATTATTTGTAGAAAATTCTGAATTTACCAAAACACTCGTGACGTTAAATTTATCTACATTATGATATTGCTCCGAAATATTATTTACTTCTGAAGTATCCATTATTGATGTCGAATTTACATCAATCGTCTGCGTTACGTAGTTTGGTTTATAATCCAATGTACTTGATTCTGTAGTTATGATTTCTGTAGTTATATCATGTTCTTCATAATCAGATTCAATGACGTTAATGTTTGGAAGTATTTCTCCCGCCATAATTTTCTCGTGTTCTTCTTTCGTCATAGAATTTTCAATATTTATCTGCGATTGATCGCTTCCTACATTTACACTTTCTGAAGAATCTAATATTTGACTATCGCGTTTTGAACGATAATAACAAATTGGCTTCGATAAATAGGAAGTTTGGATAATTCTGCAATGGCAATCTTTTGTGTTTTCTTTGATCATTTCTTCAGAATGAATCTTTTGAATGTTTGCGTAATTACTTCTTTTAAATCTTTTATTATGAAGAATTGGATGTTGTATTTCGCGAATAGAATATTCCGTATTTACATCGGCAGGTCGAGAAAATTTAATTGCTTCTGTATTAATATTATCTCTATTATTTAATATATTCGTGGTCAAAACTTTTTCTTTATCTAAGTTAGTTTCCTCGTATTTCATATTTTTAGTGCGATAATTATTATAATTAGAATTTACAGTGGCAGTTTGAGAAGGTTGATAAAAAAAATTCGAAGTTTTCTGTTCTGATTCTACTTTTAGTTTTGTTTCTTCAGATTTTGTATTTGTTGCTTGATGATTTATGTAAATTGGAGTTTTGACAAGTTGATTGAATGGCATCGTAGAGCGTTTCAAAGCAAGATTTAATGCCTTGTATTTTGTGTCACGATCATGTTCTTCGAGATCGTAATAATCAGCCAACTTTTGCATGCTTTCTTCTATATCTTGTTTTTCCTCTCTCTCTTCAGGTAGTTGTTCTTGAAGAATTTTTACAGTAGCTATTTTATTATTATCTCCGACATTCTCATGTTCTTGAGGAAAAAATTCTGCTTCCAAAAGATCGTCATAATTTTTCGGATTTCCTTTGATTTTTGTATTAAACTTGACATTTTCAAAAAACTCGTTTGGTATGTGATCATTTTCCATTTCTATCCATGTATTATCTTCTATATGTTTTTGCGTAAAATCTTTTCTGTGTTGCATATTCTTCAATACTGAATCCTTCTCATTGCTTTCATTTTGAATATAATCGTAATTTTGTTCCGACGAGTCCCCTGTAGTGATAAAAATGTCGCTTTCGGGAAATCCTCTGATAGGATTATGTCGAGAAAAGCCATAGAAATTGTTTTCACCGCTGTCAGTAGTCCTTGGATTGAATGGTATCAACAATTCATCTCTTTTAAACTCATCTCCTCCTTTCCGTTTTGTTTTTCTTTCATTTATATAATCTTTCGTGTTCTCAAATCTCGAATGTTTTTTAAAAACATTGTCCTTCTTTAGACCTATCTCGATTAATTTTTTGCCAATATCTCTCTTCATTCTTTCAGATTCCTGGGTTGAATGCTGATAATTTTTTATGTCACGAATTTTTTTTTCTTGATTGTCTTGTTCAATGATATTTTTATGTTGTTTCGATAATTTCTTTTCTGTAATGTTCTCGGTCATTTCCTTTTCAGAATAAACGCAAGCTTTTACCTGTTAAATTAATATTATTTTAGTTATTTTTAAATATAATAAGCGAAATATTTTATTTTAGTTTACCTTTGCATTAGGTATAACCCAAAAACCTATATTCCCAGAAGAAAGCTTTAATTCAAGGCTATCAGATTTGATAATAATCTCTGGCTCTATATTTGGTAACTTCTTATCGTTTATTAAATCGAGTGGTTTATTATTTAATAAGACTTTTCTAAAAAATAATGTTTTTTAAAATTTGTCACTATAGATCTACAATTGATAAAAATCTAAAGTAAAAAAGAAATTTACACGATTCTTTTTTTTAAATAATTATAATAAAAAAATTTTTATTATAAAATATATTCATATTAGAAAATATATATATATATATATATATATATATATATATATATTGCTCTTTCTCTCTCTAAATAAATAAATAAATAAATAAATACATAAATAAAATTTCATTTATTCATTTTTCTTTCTCTTCTTTATTAGTAATTCAAATAAACCATTTTGTAACAAGATTTTTTTGCATGTAATATTGCAAATGAAATATAATATATACTTTTTACGCTATATGTGTATGTCTCTATATATGTTACAAAGTTACTTACTTTGAAAACATTTTGTTGCCAGTTTTGGTATCTGGCGACAGAATGTATTTGTGTAGAATTTTGTCTTTGAGGCCCTTTAGATTAGCGGTCATTTCTTTTGGTGTCAAATTTACACCAAAAATCGTAATAGCTCCTTTATTGTACAACGCAGAAGGTTTTGTGCATTGGCTGTACAGATGCATGTAACTTTCGTTGTTTGATTGAAGTTTTAGTTCCAAAACTTGACGTCCAACTAAAGTCTTGTGCAATAAAGATACCCAGTAATCCTGATTAAAAAAAAGATATTGTTAATAATGTATCTTATAATTTTTTATTTTTCTCATTTTAAACACGTAAACTTACACGTAAACTTACACGTAAACTCACAAGTAATTTTTGATATATTAAATATATTTACATGTTTTTATATCAACTACAATATATCAAATATAATCAGATATTTTATGATTTTTTTATAATAATATACGATAATATACGAATATATGATATTACACATTTATGATATTAAGTGACTTACGGGAGTTGCTATATAAAAATTTGATGGCTGTCTCATTATAACTTGTATGCCAAGTTTTGCAGCATTTCCGAGTCTTGTCGTCCAAATAAGTGCTCCTAGATATTCGTGTTTAAACTTTTCAGGTTTTGATTCCGCTATTATAACAATATATATACACATAAATAATTTTATAAATATATAAGACTATAAAATTTTATATATACACATAAAAATACATATACATATACATATAAAAAAATCTATATGACATAATATAAATATACATATAAATTAAATATAAAACTATTAAATAAAAATATGAAATACAAATATAAAAATTAAATCAAAATACATATAAAATTTAAATTTACAACACATATAAATATCATATAAACTCTTACTCATATAAACACAATTAATTATATAAATACTCTTAATTATATAAACAATATTAATTTATTTATAATTTTATAATGTTCTTACCAATCCATAATGGTTTTTTTCTCGTCATCTCTCGATTGATGATTTTGTACAGCTCATTCTTATCAGCAACCATATTATCATAATTCATGGAAATCTCATTGCTGTTATTGTTTAAAGAGACACTAGCAAAATCCCTGAAATTAATGCCAATAATTTCGGTCAATAAATAATGATTAAATCCATCAAAAAAATTGTTTCATTTTCTTTTGTTTTTCCTATCACTTTCATTATGTATATATATATTATATAATTTTTGTTAATATCTTTTTCTATTTTTATGTTATTTAATTTAATTTATTTTAATTTAAGAGTTTATATATATATATATATATATATATATATATATATAAGTTTTTTAAATTAAAAATAATTTTATTATATTCATATGTGTGTGCGTTAATTTTATATATTTATCATAAACCATCATAAATTATGGAAAAAAATATATTTTATCAGTTATTGCATTTTTGCTCTCATAGAATGTTTACGTATTTAATATATTTATAATATTAAATAAACACTTACGGATGCCATGTAATCGCCGAAAGTGCAGTATCTGCCGAGTTAAGATAATCTTGAAGATATTTCTGTTGTTGCGCCGTTTTATAAGCTACAATATCGGGTCCTGTGATTAAGCTGTTTGAATATCTCGGAAAAGTCTTGAGCATTTCGCGGAAACTTGCGACATGTTGGCCTAAATCTCCACCAGATAAATTGCATTTAGTTTGACATTCTATGGAAAAATATTTTATAACAATTAGAAATTAAATATATTTTCAAAATATATAAAGTTATATTTTGTATAAAACAATTCATAAAATCATATATTTAAAATATATATTTTTCAAAAATATTTACGAAAAATAAAAAATTATAAATATTAAACGCTTTTAGATATTAAATATTGTTTTAATTTAATTTAATTTATTATTGTCTCAAAACATAAAATTAAAGAGACTTTACCATAACCCAATTGCCAGCTGACGTTGTAACCCATGTGATCATTAAAAGAGAGAAGCTCCGTCATATTTATCGAATTTTTGGAATGCATTTTTGATTCATTCTCGATATATCGAGGTGCAATACAAACGATTATATCTAATCCAACGTTTTTCGTCCATTGATGTATCAATGTCCATTGCTTTGCTATAAAATTAAAACATAAAATTTAAATATTTTATAGAACGATCTAAAGAGAAAATAATGACAACCGCAAATATACACACATCCTATGTGTAAAATTGTTATCACTTCTATTAAACTAATAAAAACTAAATTTATCTTTCTATGAAAAATAAAAGTGATGAATGTCTTAAAACATGCACATGATTGATATATTTTCAAAGCCTTGATATATTTTCAAAGTTTTTCTAATATGCATCTTCAATATTTTTTGCACACATGTGCAAGGTAACAAAAGTATGATTTATATAATTAAATAAAAAAATAGATAAATAGTATCATATTTCATAAAATACATTTATAAATATTGAATAACGACTTTAAATATTTTTGATAAATATATTTGCAAATATTACAATTACAAATATAGTCATAATGCAGTTAGATTAAAATAGAGTAAAACATGTTTTTTCAAATAAAGTAACCATTTAAAAATGAATTATTCTAATTATTTTTTACAGCTTTAATTTTTTAATCGAAAACTTTTTATTAAATAGAGAAAGATATGCGAAATATGTGATTAACGTATAAATAAAAATTTATTGAAATAGATTAATTAATGATTAACTAATGATTATCGAAAATAATGTTATATGTAATTGCATAATCAAATGATTATTTATTCAACATTTTATAATATTTGTATTTAAAATAAAATTTGCCATGTATTTTGTGTATATATATTGCATATATATATTTTATTTTCTTAATTTATATAAATATTAATTGATTCATTATCGCGACATAAGTACAATAATTTAAATATTACATCGACGCTTTTGCAATTCGCGATCATATTATTATCTCGAAGCTTGTCGACGTTGCATTATGACACTTACTAGGCACTCTTGCCATCAAGGCTAATGGACGTGCATATAACTACCGGCAACCTCAAAATGAATTAATGACATTAGCATTACGTCATCGCGCCATCGTTCTCATTCATTGACATTGTTCTCCTTTTATACTGTTCATGATGATTAGATCATCGCATGATTAAAAAAGTCGGTCAGCAAGTCGGTCAAAAGTACGGCCAAAAAATTAAAATATTGTTATTTTTTTAGAACATATTAACAATTAATTTTTATAATTTTTATTTAAAGAATTTAATTGTGTCATTTTTGCAACGCGATTCCCAACTCAGTGCAATATATTAATATCCAGTCTTTTTTTTCAACATTTCTTACATGTACATAAAGCATATCAACGTATTATTATATTAAATTATGTTTGTTAAAAGCTCCTTTATTTAAAATATCTATAGAAAATTTATTTAAAATGTTTAATATAATATAATACTTTACCAAAAAGCGTATCATTTGAATCGACATCAGCGTTATGCGAATACATTCGCTCGAAGATATAAGAGTTGCTTTGTGGTCCTCCAAGACGAATGTAGGCCGGCACTAAACCCCGGGCCATATTTGTATTTCTTTCGATATTCTTGCTAAATAATTAATACAGATTGTGATACATTTCTTTTTTTAATAAACATAGAATGTCTGAATGCAAACTAGCACTTTCTTTTTTATTTTCAATTACAGAGAGATCATAATAAAATAAAATTCAAACTTTATATTTGTAATTGCACTATATTGTAATTATATGACAATATCTATACAAAAATAACGCTAAATAATTGGTATTTTATTTTATAACAATTAAAAACTTTTAATAATATTATAACTTCTGCCTTTAGATGTCTAAAAAAATTAAAATATTTAATAAAACAGAAATTTGTGAAAAATTAATTTTTTTTGAAAGATCGATAAAAAAAGCTGATCAAATCAATAAAATACCAATTCTTGTAGCGCAGAATGATTATCTTTTATTAATTTTTATTAATTTATTTTATTGATGTTTGTAAAAATTTGTTTTCTTCTTTTTAATTAAATACTTACGTGAGTGCATCGGTGCTATGCAACAATATTGCCGGATCCAATGTGAAACTGAGAAACGCATTGCTAGTTACGGCAATTGGTTTTTTATCGTTTATATTAATTATTACATTTTCCTCGAGACAATTCGCAGTAAAATAGATTACTTGCAAAAGCAAGCCAACATATTGTCGGTAATAATTCATCTTTATTTTTGATTATTTATTACATTTAATTCACGATTTTTATTCTCTTTCACGTATAAATTCAACACAATTAAATATATTTTAATTTTTCCTAGTCTTACATTTTTCTTACATATGTGAAATATTTAAGATACAGAAAGAAATTATTAATAAAAGTAATCAGGTAAAAGAAATCAGCGTGTATTAAGCTGATGAAGTGACAAAATTCGAAAAATTGAAAAAATATAAAAAATATAGAAAAATTGAGAAGTGGCTAAATATTTTATGTATTCACAAAAATTTTAAAGTTCTAACGTGTATGAGCGTAAACACAACAATTCGGGACACTTTTTTATGCGTACTGAAATGTTACGTACGTTGAAGCCGATATTTCTGAAATGGTGTCGACGAAAATTGCTTAGCACAAGTTTCGAAATGCAAATTTTGATGCATAAACGGATAATGTGCACATACAGCAAAAATGCGCTAATTGTGCAATTCTCTCAATTTCTTCAGCAATATAATTTGGTTGACATATTTATTAAAGTATTTAATAAAACTAAAAAATTGATTAAGAAAATATCTGAAATATCGATATCTCTCTCGTGCTAAAATCTTAAATTTCCGAGTATTCTAAATCCTAATCTCTTAAGTTTATATTTAACACTAATTGTAAGAGTTATGACTTGAAAAAATAAAATTTAGTACATACAATAAAGTACATACAAAATAAAATATTTAAATTTTTAAAATATGAGAAAAGGTTTAACGAGAGCATAGAGTCTTAGGTGTAATTAATTGCACCTAAAACTCTATTATACAATTGTATAATATCTAGATTTAATTTTTATCGCAAATAGGATATTGTGAGGGAAATATTCGACGAAATAAGAAAATAAAAATACGTTTAGTTATATATATTTTCGCTTTTTATTAATTGTCAACAAATATTTCGGATCGATATTTAGAATCGCTAGAAAAAAACAAACGTAAATTACTCGAGCAGTAAGCGTCTCCTCTACTGGAATACATTTTTTTTTTTTTTTCGAGACACCCTGTATATCCTGCGAGAGTGTATACTTGTGTGGGTGAATGTTGGGTGGTTACTTAATACCTAAGTTATATATATACATACATATACATATGTATATATATATATATATATACATATATGTACATATATATAATATATATATCTAACAACAATATAATATATTATCGTTTGCTTCCTTCTTTTCTCCTTTTTTACTTTGTTTTTTTAATGTTACATAATACATAATTATATTCAACAATAAACTCGTTTGTGTCATTCCTTTATCGATTAGATTAGCTGCTACGCACTGCTATTTTATACAAGAGTTTTATTCCTCTGCTATCATCTTTTTTGTTTTGCTTTCCTTTGTTCATGCGAGTTTTCTGTTCTTTCTTCAATGCTCTTTTCTTTATCCGCAAAATAATTCTTTGATGTGAAAATTCTAGTCTTTTATAAAAAACAGAAGATAAAAAAAAAACAGAAGATATACACAAGTATTATAACAATAACTCATAAAAGGAGAACAAATGATCTAACAATTAAATTTTCTTAAATAGAACTTATTTAAATTTTAATACAATTCATTTATCTAAATTCAAAGTAGGTTTCTTCTATATATTTATTGCAATATTTTAATTGTTAAAAAAACATTCGTAGATCATATTGTTAGAACTTTTAAGTTAAAATATTATTGAAATGAAAGCTAAAAAATTAATACGTACGTATTTAATTAACGTGCACATCTTTTATTGCATTTTCATTGTTTCTACTTAAAAAAAAAGATTTTTTTTAATTTAATTATCAGATCATATAAATGCAAATTTGAATAAGTCATAAGAAAGTTATAAACAGATACAATACTTATAATTTTTTAGTTTATTTTATTAAGATATTTGATGTTGCAGATTCTATAACAAAATATAAGAGATCTTGACTCATTAAAGTTTAAATTATTTGAGCAAGTAAAGATTCATTTATTTCAGAATTTGGTAATTGATTTTATGATCTAAAAAATTAAAAATCTAAAAACTTTTGAAATATTAAGTCTTCAAGGAAAACATAATTCTACAAATTGATGAGTTTATTCGCAAGTTTCAAAAATCCAAGCTTTAGATCATTCACGATCTTCCATTCATACTCCGAGCAAGCTTCGTGCGATTCTCATTCGTCTTTTTCTCGTTTTCTCGATGTTACTAAATTTTTCAAACAATTGTATTCTAGATCGTTCTAATTTAAGGGCACCTTTTCGCAGATATCTGCCAAAAGAAAATAAGCTCAGATTTACTTTTAAGTTATCTCAAGTTAGATTAGATTAATTCAAGCTCAAGCTTTTATGCAATGATCTTTATTTCTCTCAACAGATTCTTTTGTTATATAACATTCTAAAATAAAATATTGTTTTATTTTGCGAGATGACATAGATTTTTCTCGCAATCTTTCTCTCTCTTTCTCTGCGAAAAGTTGTCACAAAAGTTTTCAGATTTTTCGCTGTTATCCTAGAATTCTAATTACTCTCAATAATAATCAATATAATTTAAAATACTATTGTTTTTCAAGATATATATACATATATATATATACATACATACATATACATGTTGCATATGTGTGTGTATGTATGTATATGAATATGTGTGTGTATGTATGTTGTGTGATAAAATATTTATTACAAGTAAATTATAATTTTGTTTCATTATTTTAGTGAAATGTATCTAATGGTTTTATAATATAAAACACACATAATATGAAATTAACATTGGTCAATAACCTCGCATTAGAATTCCGGGATGAGGTTCATCATTATTTACTTAAGCACTCACATTTGATAATAGTAATTGTAGGCATCGATAGTATTGCTTCTCGGTTTAACGAAATCACGAAGAGTCTGGTCCGCAATAACAATATCGAACATACGCTACCATCAAGAACAAATACGACAATCATTAACACTGAATAAGGCAAAAGATTTCATTCAAACCGTCAAAAAAGTTTGTCACATTAATTTTATAATCTGTTCAAAATCACATCATAATTTTATTATTTATTATATTTTAAATGTTTTTCTTACAAAAAGAGAGTTATATTCTAAAAATAAAAAAAAGATATTAACATAAAGTTAAAATTTTCTTATAATTTTATTATTTCTTGCTACTTTTAATTTTCTTCCTTGAGTTAATTAAATTCGCTTATTAAATAAATTATTTCTTTTTCTCCTATGTTTATTTCTTTTTTATTCTATAATTGTGACAACTCGTTTGATGGTTTAGCACTCCAATAGGTTAATAACAGAAATATATTAATATCACACAATTAACATTAGACAAATTTTAATCTAAAACAATTTATACAATTTTCAAACATTTGAATTGTACAGTTCAAATGCTTGTACATTATTATAAAGTTAACATAATAATTTTACGCATTTAAAAAAAGTGATTAGATTTACACAAATGCGATTTTTAATATAATAATAATAATTTTCGAAAGGTAAGTGCAACGTTCAACAATATATAGGAGACTTAGAGATCAATGGCACTTCCTTTGACTTAATTGTTAATTTTATCGTAAATGTTAAATCGATTTTGGCAAACATTTTAGCAATATAATATCAAGACTTCAATACATAATTTATCATAGTGATGGAAAATTTATAAGCGATAGAAAATAAAATTTTAAAATTATTATTAACAAAAGTTTGTTACGTAAATAATTTTAAGTAGACTTTAAGAGAAATTTAGTTATACTAAAAAATATTTAATAGCAAAAATTTAGAAAATAATTGGAAAGATAATTCCTTATATTTCATTAAATTTTTGATACTCGACTTAAAATTAGCCAAATATTCGAAAGAAATGCAATTGATCTAAATATCTTGTATACAATTCCGATGAGAGCGATAATAACGATTAATAACTCGTTTCCTAACAAACATCGCACAAGTTCGCTCGGACATGTTGGTATAACATATCATTCCTAACTCGAATGGCAGTCGAAAATGCGGAGTCTTTTTAACGCTTTTCCTTTTGCAATTCATTCATCAATCGATTAATCTCTCTCTCTCTCTTTCTCTCTCTCTCTCTCTCTTTCTCTCTTGCTCTCATTTTCATAAATATTCTCTTAGCATTCTTTTATATATAAATCTAAAGTACCTACTAACCTACTCTTCTCAACCACATTTGGTTTGTTAATTTCATTCTTAATGATGTATCTCATTTAACGCCTAACTTTTTTAATTACAAGTATCCCCAAACTATCGCGTTTCTCATAATTTTAGAGAGAAAATCGAAGACGATTTTTGTTTAAACGTCAAGAAAGAGAAGGAGAAAAGGGAGAGGATTGGTGGAGAAGGAATATAAAGACGTTCAAACATCTGTACATTGTACACCGCACTTTTTTGTTCCTCTAGAATGTTTAAGGGAAATGTGATAGTTCGTGGACAGCCTGTACAAAATCATCGTCATCACCTCTCGCGATGTGAGTGATCGTATAGTAATCGATTAACGTTAATTATCATTATTACTTTATAATGCGTTGTGTCGTTGTCTCTGAATAGCCAAGTCGGTGTTCGCGAATTTCTCAACGTTCCTCGAGATCCTGTATTAATCAAATTAAATAATTATTTTGTAAACCAATAAATAATTTTCAAATACAGTATTAACATTTTAATTATTAAATGACAATTAATTGCAAAAAAAGTTAAAAGTCTCAATATCTTGAGATCTGTTATCACATAATCTAAAACTCGAAAAATCCTTGGATCTAAGAATTTTCTCGAGGATCTATATAAATCCTATGACGCGAATATCTAAGAGTTCAACAATCTACATTTCCAAGGATATAAAAATTCATAGATCCAAGAATTCACTTAATATCCAGATTTAGTAATATAATTTAATACGTCGATGTTGCCTATATCAAAGACCTATATGTCAAAATGTTTCTAGGATCCTCGAAGTTTATTTAAGGCTTTATCTATGACCTAAAGGATCTATTTAGGAACTTTTTCATAAACACGAATCTC